AAAACATCAATTTGTTGTCTCCTGCACACCCCCTACAGGGATCAAGCCCACAACCTGGGCAAGTGCCCTCTTGGTTCATTGCTGGATGCTCAACCACTGAGCCAAGCCAGAGAGTAAAATCTTAACTCAACTGTGATGAATGCTGCTGAGAGATCAAGTAAGAGAAAAGGGACCGCTAGTTTTGATGTACATAGTGATGATTGATGACCCTAAGAGCAGTATGTGGAGTGATGAGAGCAGAGATCCTGCTGGGATGGGATGAGAGAATGTGAAAAGAGCGAGAAGTAACTATAGCCCACTCATTCAAGAAATTCTGCTTGAAGCAGAGATGAGAAAGGGCGTGGGTACCTGAAGATGGAATTTGAGGTAAGGGAGGGTTTTTAAGGTAGTATACTTTGGTGTGTTTTGTGCAGATGGGATGGTTCAGTTGAGAGGGAGAACTAATGGTGCAGGAGAAAGGGGATAATTGCAGAAGGCAAGAGAGGCTGGGTGCAAAGTTCAGCTAGAGAGATGGCCTCTGATAGGAGCAGGGACCTTTCATCTATTGAAAGAGGAAGAAAGTGGCCACTAATGTGATTGAGCTAGCACTGGTAGTGAGAATATAAGAGTTCCTGTTGAATGACTACTTTCTCAGTGAAATATGAGGCAGGATCAGAAGTAGAGAGACAGCAGGGAAAGGTAAAGAAGGGGGCAGGGTAGAAAGTTTAGAGGAGGTAAGATGTGAAAATAGTTGTTCCAAAGAGTGGAAAAATGAGCAAAGTATAGGATGTCCAAGCAGCATTGGATACCTTTTGAAATCTGTAGCCATGGATTTATTTATTTAAAATTTTTTTAAAAATATATTTTTGTTTCAGAGAGAAAGTGAGAGGGAGAGATAGAAACATCGATGAGAGAGAATCATTGATTGGCTGCCTCCTGAACGCCCCCCACTTGAGATTGAGCCAGCAACCTAGGCATATGCCCTTGATTGGAATCGAACTCGGGACCCTTCAGTTCACAGGCCAACGCTTTATCCATTGAGACAAACCAGCTAGGGCTGTAGTCATGGATTTAAAGTGTTAACTCCTCAGCATGGTTTTATTTTTCCTCCCAACAAGTGTAGGCAAGTTGTGTTTACCAGGAAAATGGGAGAGTTAAGTGAGGTAAGAGTGTTTATAAGGCAGCGATTTTAATGTCTGGTTAAATCTGAGTAGCTGAGCTGGAAGGGTAGGAGGGGTGATCAGATTTTGGAGATGGTTCAGTGCTGTTGGGAACACAGCAGAGGGGAATGAGGCCGAGGTAGGGTGGAAAAAATGATCACTGAAGGTGAGGTCAAGAAACAGAGGCCAAATTATTCAGTCCCCACCTCAGAGATTTCTCCTGACCCCCCTCCTCCCTATGGGACCTCCACCCCCCTCATGTGGATGTTGATGCCTAAGACTAAATTCTTGGTCTTTCTCCTCTAGTCTTTTTCTGTAGTGGTTCCACCATCCCATTACTCAAGTCAGAAACCAAGTCGTCTTTGACTCCTCTCCCTCACCCCCAATCCACCAAGTCCTGTTGTGTCTCCCTCCTAAATAAATCTGACCACTCCATTTCTCCTCATCTCTAGTCTTTCACACGAGTCCATGCCAGCTTCTTCTCTTTCCAGGACCACTACTCCATTAACCTCCCAATTGGTTTCCCTGCCTCCATTCTTGACCTATTCTCATCAATTTTTCAGAGCATATAGAATTAACATCTTGACTTTTCCTGCCTCTTGGGCACTGCCCTTACCTCTATCTAGTACTTGTTTCCTTTAACTTTTCATGGCTGCATCTATCTCATCCATTAGTTCTTAACTTTGTGAGTGCTTTTTGCTACACACTAATCTAGCAGTTGTATCTATATTCTTTTCGTAAAATATATTTTTATTTATTTCAGAAAGGGAGAGGGAGAGATAGGAACATCAGTGATGATAGAGAATCATGGATCAGCTGCCTCTTGCACACCCCCTACTGGGGATCGAGCCCTCAAACCTGGGGACCATTCAGTCACAGGCTGACGCTCTATCCACTAAGCCAAACCGGCTAGGGCCTGTATCTATAGTCTTAATCATCACTGAAACTTTGAAGTAAGTGCTATTATGGTAATATCCCCATTTTATAGAAGAGGAACCCAAGCTCAGAGGTTAAAAGTAACTTGCCAAATGTCACATTGTGGGTGGGCTGGAATAAAATTAGGTGCCCTTCTAGGTAGGTCCCTGTATTCCTCTTATTCACTTGATCCATTTTCTTTGTAGCACGCAACATAATTTGGTGATTTTTCTTGCCCCCCCCCTACCCCCCACTTCCTCTAGAATTTAAACTCTCTGATATCAGGAACCTAATATGCCTGGTTTACTACTCTCGCTGGTGCCTCACACATTGTCTGGCACATAGTAGGGACTTCATAAATATGTATTTTTCAGTGAATGAGTTGTCTCAAGAGAGTTGAGCTTCTTACAAACTATTTCAGCAGCTATGCCTGTTTGTTTGATCCTGCTTTACCTTTTCAGTCCCCACCTCAGAGACTTCTCCTGGGCCCTCCCCAATGGGGCCTCCACCTCCTTCAAGTACAGCTTCTAGGCCCCCAGCTGTGGGGAGTTGTCCTGCCTCCACTGTGGATCCCATAGATTTTCCAGTCATTGAGTGTGAGACTCTGCTGGAAGATGTGCTGAGACCTTTGGAACAGGCATTGGATGATTGTCGTGGCCACACGAAGGTAAACCCTGGCACTCTGGCGGGATGATGGGGAGGGTTCCTATTGACAGCCAGATGCAGGTATGGCTCCCAAAGGTAGACCCTGTGATCCTATGGGCAGTGGCTCTTAACCCTTTCAAGTTATGGACTCCTTTGGAATCTAAGGCCTTCCCAGAAAAATAAACACAGGGTTTCAGGAGGGTTCAGGCACTTCTCGAGACCAGTCAGAAGAGGCTTGTGGGTATGAAAGTTGAATTTAACTCCCATTAGTGATCAGCAGCCTGATTATGATACCTCCAGGCCATTCAGAGCAGGCCTTGCTAATCTTGTGTTCAGGGAGGGAGGGAAACCCTCTTTTTCTGTCTATAGTGTTTAAGTTCTCTGGAGACAAGGGATTTGAGGAATCTTAAAGGAAAGTAGCATAGTAATTTTCACCTGTTTGGTTCTTAGTTTCCTTATTTGTAAAGTAGCACTATAAAATGAGTTTTTGAGCATCTAAGAAAGCTTAAAATTCTCACTTTACATGCATTTTTCTTGAAAATAGATCTATAAGTTTCATCAAATTCTTAGTGGGCCTCTAATCTTTGGGTAAAGAACCAGAACGCTAAGATTAAGTGTAAAGTTCCTGGGCCAGAGAAAGCAGGTGCTTCCTATGTGGTGCTAGGTTTCCTTTGCCCCTGTTGTGGCAGCACTGACTTGCAGGGCTTTCTGTCTCTCAGAAGCAGGTATGTGATGACATCAGCCGACGCCTGGCTCTGCTGCAAGAACAGTGGGCTGGAGGGAAGCTGTCAACGCCTGTAAAGAAGAGGATGGCTCTGCTGGTGCAAGGTATCGGTTCCTTATCCTGCCGTAGTTGGCTAAGCTGGAATAGGTAGTGAGATTTTGAGGGGAGGAGTGGGAGGTGTCTATTGCCCCAGACTGCTTGCTCAGCCTCTTTCTCTCTCTCCTCAGAGCTTTCAAGCCACCAGTGGGATGCAGCAGATGACATCCACCGCTCACTCATGGTTGACCATGTGACTGAAGTCAGTCAGTGGATGGTGGGAGTTAAAAGATTAATTGCAGAAAAGAGGAGTCTGTCTTCAGAGGAGGAGGCTAATGAAGAGAAAGCTGCAGCCACATCTGAGAACCAGACCGTACCAGAACAGGATCCATAATCCTATGGGTTCCCCAGACTCACCTCATACCATCTCCTATGCCTTGGCATGGGAGGCCTTGTCTCACTTGGCTCCCTCTTAGCACTTGGGAGACTGTCTGCCCTGTTGGGTTCCCTTGGCCTGACCCACCTCTGGAGGAAGAGGTCCCATCTAGGCCACAGGGTGGTCACTTGTCTTCTCTAACATATGTTTCAATAAAAACATCTCAGTGTGGCCCCTGGTTAGGAGATAAACCCTTCTTATGCCAAACTGGTCACTTCTGGCTCGCTCTGCACCCTGCAAACTTCTGTTCTTCCTCCATTCATCATGAATGGCCTTACTAGGCATGACCAGATTACTGTCTGCCACTTTTTCCCAAATCAGAACTAAACGCATATCCCTTGCTGGGCTGAGTAACCCTATCTTTGTATGATTTCATTTCAGCATGGGAACAGAGGTTCAAATAGCATGGGGAGAATTTTCCCTCAAGAAAAGATAGCCTTGTTTGCACTGTATCCCTCTTGAGTATGCAAGAGATTAGAATCAGATATTAGAACATAGCTAAATACATTGGAGGAGAAAAAGACCACATTCCTGAAATATGGGATCATGACTTTTTTCCTTGGGAGAGGGGGATATAATTATGACTCTATCTGACTTAGAAATTAGCTGCTGCCTCAGTTTGGGCCTCAATGTGGGTTCTAAGGTCTATTCTTTGAAGACAACAGAGTCAGGTTGAGGGGGCCTGTGAGAAGGTCTAGAACAGGCTTTCAGTGTTGGAATAAGGAGATTGGAATTGGTATTTATAACTGGGAGGCAGAAGAGGCATGGGGAGAGATCAGAGGTGGCTAAAAGGTTAGGGCAGTGCCTCTTTTTTCCTGGTTTGGTATGGACGGAGGGAGGAGTACCGGGAGAGGCCTGATTTTAGGAAGGCTGCTTCCTGGAAAGGCTGGAACAGCCCTTGGCAGGGGTCAGGCTAGTGCTGTTTATGATTTGATAGCTTCTGTAGCTTGCCCCCATAGCCTGCCACAGGCTCTAATTGCTTCTGGAAGTGAGCTCAATCTGAATTGGGAAGTAACTGGACCTCTGTTCCTAACCAGGTCTGCTGGGGCCCTCAGCTGTGTGGCTGGAATGGGAGGATCAGCATTGAGAACATTGGAGCCAAGGCATTTCTTTGAATATTTACTAAGCAGTGAGACAGTGACATACTCCATTCCCCCAAGCCTCGCCTCAGCCTGAGAGTGGAAGGCTGGGGGTTGAGAGGAGTGCCTACAAACCGAACAGAAAGTAGAGTTAAGGGCTTGGCAAGGTGCCCACTCCTTATCCTTGGTCTAGCTGCCTCAGAACTAAGGGAGGCCCAGAGCCAAGCACTCCCAGATTAGATGAGGCCAGCTGGTCTTTGGATACCCCAGGAAGAGGTGGTGGCAGCGGCAGCATGAGGGATTCCTGTAACTCCACACACAGGTCATCTGCACTGGATTAGATGTCCATTTCAAATTGTGCGTCATCTGGAGAGAGAAAAGGCAGGAGGACTGGTTGCTGGGCTGAGGGTCTGCACACTCAGCTTTAGTGCAGAAACCACTCAGACTCGAACCCCCACTCTAAACCAGGGTATTTGGACTTAGGCATTCCTTAATTTTAAGTCAGTTCCTGCTTTCCTTACCGGGTATCTCTTCCTCTGTCTCCTTCTGTTCCTTCAGCTCCTCCAGCTTGGGGGATGGGGTTGTTGGAGGAGTTGTGACCCCGGGAATCTGAGGGAGGCAGCAGGGGGGTGTCCGGGCAATGGGTGAGTTCTTGCACTCCAGCAGGAACTTTCTGTCGTAGATGATCCTGGTGCCTGTCAAGGGGTAGGGGCTACGTAAGAGGCAGGAGCTTGGGTACAGAGCTGTCTGGGGCCCCGGAAAGGCCTTTTGGGGACCTTGGGGGTCACATTTCCTTGTGTTTTAAAGGGCTACTGCTCTGCATTCCAGCCAGGATCTCAGGTGATTAGCATTCACAGCGCTTAAAGATTTCCAGTCCTAACCAGGATATGGCTAAGCAAGTGGGCCATCCCAGCTGGCCCAGGCAGGAGCTTTTGGTTTAGGGCAGTGCTCGGCAAACTCATGAGTCAGCAGAGCCAAATATCAACAGTACAACGATTGAAATTTCTTTTGAGAGCCAAATTTTGAAAACTTAAACTATATAGGTAGGTACATTGTTATTAATTTAATTAGGGTACTCCTAAGGTTTAGGAAGAGCCACACTGAAGGGGCCAAAGAGCCACAGTTTGCCGTCCACGGGTTTAGGGGAGCTACAGGTCTTGGCTCTAGGAGAACAAAATTTGGAGCTCAGGTACTTCAGGCTGCTCTTCTCTGGCTCTGCAACTTCATTGCTGTTTCACACGGTGGGGCCTAGACTTTCAGCCTTGGTTGGATCAGGAAACCAAATAACAGATGTGAAGGCGGCTCACCCAGTGTCACCTGGGCTGATATCCTGCGGGGAGGAGCTGTGTTCCGAGTGAAACAGGGACATACTGTTCTTATCCTGACCCCTCCCAAGTCCTATCAGGCTCAGCCCAGCCTAGAGGAAATTGGCACCTAATCTTGTCCTCAAAGGGCCCTGCCCTTGTTCTCAGCCCTCCCCTCAGCCTCCACGTGGCAGGAAGCCCTGGGTGGGAAGCCCAGCAGCTCATAATCCCAGGCTGCTTGTCCAATCAAACAGCCGCTAGCCAGCCACAGATAAACCGAAGCCCATGCCCCTAACTGACGGCCCCGATCTAGCAACTTTGCAAAACCTGGTGATTCCTGCTGAGGCCACCCTCAGTTGGGGCCTCGGCCTCCCAGGTGGCAAAGGCCTCCCAGGTTGCAAAGTCGGGAGGGGCTGGTAAGCAAAGCGCCCAGAACCCAGGCCAGTGAGGATTTCAGCCCGAGTCACCCGGAAACTAGGCTTGGGCTCCACCCGCCCTCCTTTACCTTCCCCAAACCACAACCAGCAGAGGGGCCTGCGGACGAGTGCAAGTCCGCACCGCCCCCACCCCTGCCCTCCACAGCACACACGCGCTGTCCAGCCCGCTCCCTGAGGACCCCAGCCCGGCCCGCTGACCTCCCGGGGTAGTGGCGTATAGCGTGCCCCCCGGCGTGGTGCTGTAGCAGTCGGGCAGCCGGTCTCTGCCCCCGGGAATCGGGCAGGTCGTGAACGTGGACATAGCGAGCGAGATGAGCAGGAAGGCAAGCAGCTGAAGACGCGGAGTGCAGCAGTCTGAGGCGGACTCTGCCGACCACGTGCGGCCGCAGCCACAACATTCGGTCGACGTCACGCCCGGGGCGGGCCACCGGCCGTCACTCAACGTGAGGTTCCGCCCTCGAGGGAGCAAGCCCGTGGCTCAGTAAAAGTTGGAAGGAGTTCTTTTTTGGCCCAACGTTGGCAAGCCACCCTCTGAGTCCTGCAATCGCTCAGTTATTTACTAGTCACTGTTTACAGCTGGGCGCTGGGGACAAGTGAGGTACACCTTACTGCCATATATTAATTCACCCATTCCTTTTAAACAGTTTAAGACAGTAAATCACATTTTACAGGCGAGGAAACTAAAATCCTGAGATTAAGTCACTGGTTCAAAGTCACATATCTTCTAGGAGCCCCAGGAAGCTGAGATTCAGACCTGACTGTACCTGATTCCAGTGCCTGTGCCTTTCAGCGCAGCTGAGTACTGCCTCCCATTAATCAATTACAGTACAGGGTGAAAAGTGCCTTGAAGGCCTGGTACACAGCTTGAAGGGGGGAGGGCAGGGATGGAGGGTGGGTTTTCTGGAAGGAGTGATACCTGGAAGGATGAATAAAGGTTGGGGGATAGGAGAGGCCTGCTCTTTGATCTGTCAGCCACAGCTAACCTAACCCGAGGAAACTAAGGAAGGGCAGGGGGCAAGTGACGAGTGCTTGTTCTTTCACTCTCTGGAAAGGAAGGCCAGAGAGTCTGGCCTTAGGTTTTTTGATGCACACAGTGATATAAAAGGAGGAAGGAGAGGTGGTGGGAGAATAAGTCTAGTGCCTACATACACTAAAAATCACTTCATCCAGTTGTTTTCTGGCTTCTTTAAAATCAGTGTACCTCCACACCCCCTACCCTCCAAATAAAGTACAGACCAACTGACTTCATAAGATTTCCCCTTGGCTCTGACTCCTTCACTCATTAATTAAAAAAAGAAAGACTATTTTACAAGTCAGAGCTTCTCAAATTTTAGTGCACATAAATAACTGGAGAGCTTGTTAAAATGAGAATTCTGGCCCTAACTGGTTTGGCTCAATGGATAGAGCGTCGGCCTGTGGACTGACGGGTCCCTGGTTTGATTCTGGCCAAGGGCACATGCCTGGGGTGGGGGCTTGCTCGCCAGGAGGGGGCGTGCAGGAGACAGCCAATCAATGATTCTCTCTCATCGATGTTTCTATCTCTCTCTCTCTCCCTCTCCCTTCCTCTCTAAAATCAATATATTTTTTTTTTTAAAAAAGAGAATTCTGAAAAAGGTCTGGGGTGGGACCTGAAATTCTGGGTTTTTAATAAGATCCTGGGTGATGCAGACCCTTGGTTCAGCAGGTCCTTAGAATCACACTTCAGGGATCAAGGATCTATATATTTTATGTTCTAAAGATGTTTTTAAACCTCTTACAAAGTAGTGTATACTTAAATAAAGTGTTTTAGCAGTGCTGGAGGGTAAGGCGTGGGAGCAGATTACGAGGAGCCATTTCTGACAACTAAGCTTTTAAGCAAGTAAGTAGTCTGGTGGGGGGAAGGAGGGATGGGATGGAGAACAGTGAGACTGAAGGTGAAGACTCCAGTCTAGTGAAATGGGGTAGGCAAAAGGGCAGTAACCGTGAGGACTGAGAGAAGTGGAAGGGATCCAGATAAACAGAGGAGGAAGGATAAGGTGATTAAGGGTAGGGTAAGGGGGAGGGAGATAAATGAGGATAAATCTCCCAATCTCCTGACTTGAGATCTTTGTAGCTAGTAATACCACTTAATATAACAGAGAACACAAGGGAAAGGTCTTATCTTATATTGGGGATGTCTGATGTGCATGGAATGGAGAAGCAGAACAAGGAACTAGATACACTGGTCTGAAGTTCAGAGAACTTTGAGCCAATGATGCAGATTTGAGTGGAGTGAAATCCTAGAGCAAGGGGTAAGATATCATTTGGTGAGAAGATAAACGAAAGAGGCCTGGGCACATCAACATGTGGAGGAAGAGGATTCACCAAAAGAAGCTGAGAAAGATCAGCCAGAGGAGGAGAACTAGGAGAGAAGTGTAAGTGGCTTCCAAGAAGGATTAGTGTGGAAATGAGGTCTCCCTTCTGTTAACCCATACTACAAAATAGCAGCAGCAGATACTACTATTATAAGACTGCTGGTAGAAGCTTACTTTTCTTGAGACACTGTGTGCTGTAAGGGCTAGGGAACTAGAGAATAGGTAGTGGCTTTAGAGAAAGCCAGATCATCATTTATGCAATATGGATCAATACTGATTACCTATTAGAGCAGGGGTCCTCAAACTACGGCTCGCGGGCCATATGCGGCCCACCGAAAACATTTATCCGGCCCGCCGGGTGTTTTTGCCGCCGCTGCCTGTCCTGCTTAGCAGCTGACTCGTCCCGGGCCCGCAGTGCGCATGTGTGGAATGTCTGAGGGACAGTGAACTGGCCCCCTGTTTAAAAAGTTCGAGGACCTCTGTATTAGAGTATGGGAACTTTAATAAAACAAACACCTATACCCATGCCCCAAACCCAGAGACTGGCCTAAATCTACAAGGAAATATCAGGTCTCTGCCACCAGACAAATTACAGTTGACCCTTGAACTGTGCGGATTTTTTTCAATATACAGTCTGCCCTCCATATCCCCAGGTTTTGAATCCACAGGGCTAAACAGTATGCATTATTCGATGCCATTTTATATAAAGGACTTAAGCATCTCAAATTTTGGTATCCAAACGGAGTCCTGGAACCAATCTTCTGTTCATACACCAAGGGACAATACCATCAAGATAAAACGGGAGTTGAAAAGTAATCACAAAACAGGTTTGCAATTGGATCATTAGATTCTTGATTTGTTTTCAAAATTAGGTCTTGAATCCCAGGCTCCTGCCCTTTTTTGGTAGTGGTCTTAACACACTTAAGTTGTGGATAATTAAAACCATCTTTTTCTCACCCATTTCCTAACAGGAGTTTGAAGGTAAAGGAACCTGCTTGTTGGCAAATGGTGACAAATCTTTGAGAATGAATAGAAAATGCAGCATTATCAGAGCCCCTCACCCCAGGGCAGGGTCCACTGGAAGACGTCACAACCAGACACACTTCTTGGTAGAAGACATCTAGGGCTAGTTAGAGAACAAGGTGTTCAGAAGCTGTTTTCCTACAGGCTTGTTTGCCTCTTCCTGGGATCACAATGTGGTCCAAAGGTCTTACTTAAACAGTGGGACAGAACCATGTAAACAAAACGTGCCTCTCTGTTTGGCTTGAAACTATATGACCAGCCTTTCCCCTCTACAAGCTACCTCAAGCATACGATGACCCCCTCATATACTAATTTTGAGGTTTGAAGGAGGATTTGACCAGAACCTATAAGAACAGATAGAAGCTGTAGTTCCAAGTCCTGAGATTTCTTACCTCTGGTTAGGAGAGGGCACGATTGGCTGTCCAACTCTCTTCTTCACTCTGGTTAGCTGAGGTGGTGGGATTTCCCCTTTGAGAGCAGGGACTGAAGGAAGCAGACTGGCCTATAAAAGGGCAAGTCAGCACACTGTAGCCACAACAGGTTTATAGGGTCTTAAAACATCAGCAATTTTATTTTTTTTTTCACATTGGAATTTTTTAATTTTTTTTTTACATTGAACACTACTCAAATAAGTGGGTCCAGAAACCTTGATCATACCATTTTATTCCTTGAAAGAGGTATTATTCTCATAGGGTTTGATCTATGTCTCAGCAGGATGTTTCTTAATGACTTGAGGGCTCACTATTGATGTGCAAGGTTTTCTTCTTCCTCCACTAAAATGTCAAAATCAATAATGGACTCCACAACAGCAGGCTCTTATTCCATGTGAGAATCAGTGGTAGGAGCTCTCAAACTTTAGCAATGTAAACTCTTTACTGGCTTCCAGTATTCTGGAATATACCATATATTCTCATTCACAGGAAAAGGGAGAGAATCTGTATTAGAACTAGGAGACTATTGGGTTCAATATGTTCAATTTCATTTTCAGATGAGGAAAGTGAAACCCAGAAATAAGAAATGATTTGCCTAAGGTCATATAGCTTCAAGTGGCAGAAATGAAAATAATTTAGGCTTCTGACTCTGGTTCCACTGTACCCAGGCTGCCTCCCCCAAAATCCCTTGTATATTTTGTATCATGGTATCTCCCATGTATCCCCCTTGTATATTTTGAAAGTAATTAAGTCCTTACCTGAGCTAGGTTTAATCCAAGGTTCAGGTTGGTAAAATAGCAGTGAAGTAATACCAGGAAGAGGCAAGACAGAGGAAGAAGAGATTATAGCAGGCAAAATGGGATGGGGAGTAGGCTACTGGGATCCAAATGGTCAGAAAGAAGGCAGTGCTGCTAAGAGGCAGGGAGGAGGATAAATAACCACTACTAACTACACAGCTTCTATTTCTTCCTAATTCTTCTAGGGGGTTTCTCATAATTGCCTCTCTTTCTCATGGGTTCTAGTTCCTGAGCTGAGATATAATTTTTCATTCTGTTGTTCTCAAGGTGCAGAAGATAGGGTAAAGGGCTCTTCCAGATAATTCAAATGTATTATAGATAGTTAAGATAGAACAAAACTCACCTTTTTGTCCCAAATAATAATTTACTTAATATCATCTCTCACTGGTATATGTTTCAAGAGTCATTTCATTCATTTCACTAATAATAGGTGATTTTTTTTTGTTATTGATAAATGGAAACAGCAGGATATGTAGGTGATCAAAGGGGTCTTTTACCCTCTTTAAGGTAAGGGGGTCTCTTGAGAACACGATGTAGTTTTCAAGCACTACAAAAGGCAAAATCTTCCAATACCAGTGATATATATGCTCCAAATCCACTCAAAATAGAAAATAAGGCATGAGCTTAAGGAAGTTCTCATATGTAAGATGATATGGAAGACAAAGAAGCAGGTATGTCCCACACAGAATAAACATGCTGTGTCTCATCTAGTGGTGGCTCTAGGAGCCAGGCAGAGAAGATTAAGAGTAACTGTTGGTATAACAGTAGAAAAGTGCTGCTTGCATGGTTCTACCCCTAATGACTATTTTTCTGTGCATCCTTTTTTTTTTTCTTTTTTTGGTTGATTTTTTGTTGTTATTTTTTTGTCTGTGCATCCTTCTTTGCCTTGATATGAGCTTTGGCTTCTCTATCAGCCTCAAACATTTTCTTGCTTGCTTGCTTGCTTGATTTATTTATAATTCTCATCCAAGGATATTTTCCCCATTGATATTGTTTTTTATTTTTAGAGAGGGTGGAAGGGATGGGAGAGACAGAGAGAAATATCGATGTGAGAGAGACATATCACACATTGATTGGTTGCTTCCCACACAAGCCCTGACCAGAGCCCGGGATCAACTCTACAATCAAGATACATGTCCTTGACCAGAATTGAACCAAGGACCCTTCAGGCCTCAGGCCAATGCTCCAATAACTGAGCCAAACCAGCTAGGGCAATGGTTCTTTTTCTTGAGAGAGAGAGAGGATAGGAGAGAGAGTGAGAGAGAGTGAGAGAGAAACACTGATTTGTTCTTTCACTTATGTGTGCATTCATTGGTTGCTTCTTGTATGTGCCCTGACTGGGGATGGAACCCACAACCTTGGCATATTGGGATGATGCTCTAACCAACTGAGCTATGCAACTCAGATCCTACTGCATCAGATTCTCGGCTTAGCCTATGGTTTGGCCAAAGCAGTAAATCCCAGTATTCCTACGGTTAGCTTGTTAAACATATTGGCTCTTCATACTTGGGACTAATTCTGGAACTAAGCCCAGAATTAGTCACATATTTATAAGCATTACTCAGCTGATTCAACAATACAACAGAATTATAGGAGCCATCTCTGCCCCCTTCTATGTCCCAACCCAAACAAAACTTAAAAGACATAAAACCAAAATATTTAGATTAAAAAGTCAGGATGCACAAAAGGAGCCTGAAGTTGATAGTTGGGTGTAGTTTGTTCAGTATCATCTGATTGAAATCCTATTGTTCTTCATGACATATTCATGATCCATAAAGAGCTAAAACCTGTCAATGACCTATCAATCTGCTAATGTCTGATAAGAAACATTGCAGGGGCTTGAAACTTTTTCACTTATAAAATGATATGGAAGAGAAAGGACAAGGAATGTTTAATATAGAATAAGTAGATAACTAGTCTTAAAAGAGTGTTTTTCAAGGCAGTTTAAGAATGGACTCTAAAGTGTAAAATGTGAGAAGCCTCTTACAAATATAGTACTAACAACCTGGTTTAATATGACTGTGGATTGGGTGGTACCTGCATGACTACTGAAAGGATCACACCCCACTTCTAAATACTGTTCATCTTTTTATTGAATATTCTGGTAAATATTTCACATTAATACAGGCTACATTAAGTAGAGCCACTATATGACAAGAAATTTACTCAACTTTTTCCTTTTAAGTATGTAAACAACTGTACATGTATTTACCACCCTAAAAGGTAATCATCTAATTCTCTTCTGCATAAAAGTAGCATTCAGTATGTTTAGCCAAAGCACTAAGTTCAAAATGGCTAAACTAACCACAGAACATAATCAGGTGGGTAGGAAATCACTTTGTTCTTATACAATGGACAATCAAATTTCCATTGCTAAAGCCTCAGAGAAAATTTCTTAGTTAGGCACATTAAAAAAAAAAAATCCCCGGGGTTCTTCCAAGATCATAGGTTTCTCAAACAAGGCTAAAGAATAAGACCTTCTAACTTAGTTGACATATTTGAGATGCATGTTTCCAATATGAGGTGCCCACGTGCCAGGCCAAATCTGAAAAGGGGGAGGAAAAATTGGAATTTCTAATTAGGAATCTTTAGACATTTACAAAATGAATATATAAATGCAATGGCAATTCTGTTTCTGCCTAGGAAGAATACATACACATGAAATAAAATGCTGAGTAGCATCATTTTGGTATTGAAAAACTTAATTCAGAACAAGGTAATCAGATGTCATGACTTTTGATATTTAGAACTTGTACTACCCAAAGAATGACATGAAAAATCTGAAAAAATAAGACTATTAAGTCAATTTTACCTGCTGGGCATCAGTGCATTCAGTTGAATTTTGAATAACTTTTATCATAGGATTCCAAGCAGGATCTGGGTTATGAAGTCCATTAAATAGAGGACCTCCTGGAACATCAGCAAGCTGAGGATGAGAGGGTATTATGGTGCCTCCATACATGGAAATTGGCAGACCCTAAAACAGCAGAACGAAAGGTTTAACCATCAAGTAATTATAAAAATGATTCCATAATACCAATCTCTTTAGTTTTCCTTCATTCAAAGAACTCCAGAGGATACTGTAAGTTCAGCACTATACAGTGTTGAGAAACCAAAAGTGGTTATCTGCATCATCAACACTTTTCAACAAGAAGAGAAAAAAAAAACCAACTAAATCCACTATCAAATCATTAGGAAATTTCCTATATTTGATGAATACATATAATACCTCAATTTTCCCATATTTTAGTTTCACTAATAAGCTTGTGCTAAGAAGTAAAGTGGAACTCTATATGACTGCTTGCAGCCATAACCCGGCTTTATGGCAGCCAGAAAGCTCTCAGAGCAGACAAGAGGGCATTAGGAAGCTGGCAGCCAGCTTTTTGAGGGGGAGAGGCTGCCCTAAAGCTGTGGCAGCAAAATCCAATTTCTCAGACTTTCTGGGAAGATGGGGGCATCTTCAGGATAGTTTGAGGACAAACTACTGGAGACAACACAATCCACTCTTGAAACTGGATAAAGGATCTGGCAAAGTCATGGAAACAAACTAGTTCCACCAAAAGGGAGAATTATTTCAACACAAATATTCCTTAACATGTGACTACATTGGCTGGCAAAAAATTAAACAAGTTACAATGATATTTGTCAACTCACTTTAGAAAAATCCACAAAACTGCTTGCCATAGGCTGATGAAAAATGTTAGAGGGGGCTACCATTCCAGAATCATCTCTTTCCATTGGCTGATGCTGGGAGAATGTGCTTGGGTCTGATAATTGTTGATGCATTGGATGGTTTCCTATCACAGACTGTGACCAACCTGATAAGCCTTCTGGAAAGAAGAATTGAAAACAGGGTTTGATATTTATTTGGGCAAAATAACAAACATTACCACTTGATATTTTTTCATACTAATTTTACCAAAATGATTCCCCTGAAGAACTCAGGGTATGTTCATAATAACCTCTTCAAATAAAAAAACCCCAGTTCCTGGAAAACTGGGTGAAGTCCTTTGAGTACCCAAACAGTCTACCTTGTCCAAAAGATTAGGTGCTTTGAGAAAGAACTCAAATGATTGTCCCATTTTACATGGAAAAACTTGAGAGTCAAGAAAGGAAATACACTTTGAATCTTTTACTTCTAATCAATTCTCTATTTATTATTTTATACAGATCATATATTATTATTATTATATATTACATATCCTATATAATAAAACCCTAATATGCAAATCGACCGAACAGCGGAACGACCAGTTGCTATGATGTGCACTGACCACCAGGGGGCAAACGCTGACCGCAGGAGTGCTGCTCAGCCAGAAGCTGGCTCACGGCAGTGCTAAGGACCCCTCGGGGCATGTCCGACTGCCTCCCAAGAGGGCACAGGCCAGGCTGAGGGCCCCCCCCCCTCCAGTGCACCAATGTTGTGCACCAGGCCTCTAGTATTATATAAAATATAACATTCCAGATCCTGAGACTGGGTTAAATTCTTCAAAAGTATAAACACCACTACTGATTGTTAAGTGTTGAAAATATATATATTTTTAAATTTTACTTTTAAGGAACTAAGTTTTAATGGCAAAATCCCACAACTTTCTTGAGATATCCCTCCAGACAGAGGGCAAGGTAACTGTACCTGACATGGCGTTGACACCAAATGACCAGATTCCACTGTGTCCAACAGGAGCGACAAAACTGGTCCCCACAGGGGCTTGTGCGACAGACCCTCCTTGCCGAATCCGGGCTAGTCTCTCTGTTCCAATGGGGGGAGGTATCTTTCGATCCTGACTGGCATTGCCTCCTTTTGGTTGGCCCAATGCTGGTGGGGCAGAAGCGGCTGAAAGAGGTGAAGATGATCCCGAAGAAACAGATGGAATAGGAGAGTCACCTGGTGGCAAAATATTTCTCTATTGTTTTATTACATATAAAAACTAATGATAAGAATATGAGAAACCTTGTTGGAAAGATCTATTCCAAAACATAGGTTCTGTAAAGAAAAATTCATAATTTTATAAGATCATTCAAATGAGAATATATAAGTTCTATAAACAATACCCTACACTACCTTCTGCCTATAGGAAGTATAAACAAATAGTCTAAAAAAAATGTCCAGATTTAACTGAACAAGGTTAGAAAAGAAGGCTGTATTTATTCTTATTCTAGTTCTAAATTATCTTATCAAAATATATATTGTCATATTTTAAATTAACTTAAATGTGGCAATGTTTGCACAGTACCTAGCATACTGTCTGGAAAACAGCTGGTGGCCCTCTATACTTATTAGTTGTTTTAATTTATTTTTCCCTTTCTACAGTTCTTTTTTTTTCAATAAGGAAGAAAAGTTAAATATTAGCAAAGCATCAAAGGATTCAACTCATGGCTTTGTTTCTTAATGGGACTGTCAGGTAATACGGGAAGTATTCCTTATCAAAAGGGCCAATACTCACTGTCTACCTCATGATGCTCATTAAAAAAATAAAAAAAAATCCTGTTCAAGCACTGTTAGAATTTCATCTATTCAAAATATTGAAATAAATAAGTCAGAATAGAGGTATACTTTTACTTATAAATTGCAATAATGCCTAAAGTGTAATATATAAATAAATAAACGAGGAATCATACCACACTGACCAAATACATAAATTCAACTTCTTTTTAGACTTAAGAAATTATTTCACAATACTGTCCCCAAACGGTCCTTCTATAAAATTACTTGAAGTACCTCTTTTCTTGATCCAAGTCCCAGTGTAAACATTTCTGGCTTGGAAGAAGAGCTTGACTCTTCTCAAGTTTCCTATCCTACAAATGACTGACGATTTTTGACATGACTACAATACAAACCTTAGGTATTTGCATACTATTTAGAATACTAAAGTTACAATATAGTGCTCCCTGAAACAAATGGTTTAATAACTTATTCAAGACTTTTTGGGAAGAGTTCCTCCAGGATCCCTACATGAGTTTGAGGCGCTTGTCCAAGGATGGGGAGAAAAATGTTGTCTGTTGAAACTAGGAGTCCCAACAGGAGCTGGCCCTTGCAGGAAAACACGTGTTCCTGGTATGCCGGAAAAACTTGTCAGAGGAGCAGAAGAGGAAGATGGGGAGCTGCCTGATGGGTCAATGGATGGTAACCCTGAAATAAAACAGGCCCAAGACATCCAAATTAGCCAAGGCTTTAAAATGGAAAATTCAAGGTTCAATTAATTCCTTTTTAAAAAGGAGAAAGCATGTAGTTAATTTCATAGATCATAGCAAAAATAACCCATTTACTATGTGCTGTATGGCCCAAACCAATTTTTTTCTTGCATTCCAGAAGGATATCACTAAACAGCACTAGACATAGAAAAGTGATGCCAATGTTTAAGAATGGCAGTTACCAGCTAGATCAGTTTTCACTGGAGGGGACATGAAATGAGTGTATGTTGTGACTAAGTGGTACCCATCAATAACTTCTGCTTTTGGGGAAAATCTCAAAGTGCAGCTGTGCATCTATATTGTAGTCATTTTTTATGGAAGATGAATAACAAAACCTACTAATGTTTCGTTCCTAACAGGGAAGAAAAGCATACTATTAAAGATAATTCCAGTATGCCATCTGATAAATAAAAACCAGTTACCAATTATATGAAAGTTTTTATCTAGGTTGTATAAGTTTAAATTAACAGTCTTCTCAAATTCCATTTCTTTCTCTGGAGAAGTATTTGGGAAAGGGGACAAGGGTATGGAAAAGGATTATAGGTGCTCATTTCAGGAAAAAGTAGTTAATATCAACAAAAAACTGTCAAAATTTTTTTCAAGCTGGTATTATTCATATGTTTAAAGTATATAATTCAGAGGTTTGTCTTTAAATTATATAACTCACAGGATTGTGCAACCACCACAATCAATTTTAGAACAATTTTGCCTACCCTAAAAGAAACTCTGTATACATTACCTGTCAATCTCCATTGTCCTTTACCACATATCCCCACCTCTAAGTAGCCACTAATAAACTTTCTGTCTCTATAGATTGCCTGCCTATTCTAGAAATTTCATATAATTGGAATCATACACATGTGTTTTTTGTGACTGGCTTCTTTCACTTAGCATACTGTTTTTAACGTTCATCCATGTTGTAGCATAAATCAGTACTTCCTTTCTTTTCTTTTTTTAATCCTCATCTGAGGATATTTTTTCCATTGCTTTTCAGAGAGTGGAAGGAAGAGAGGGCAGGGCAGGAAGGGGGAGAGAGAGAAAGAATGGAAGAAACAATGATGTGAGAGAGGACACACTGACTGGTTACCTCCCACAGGTGCCCCAACTGATGCTCTAACTACTGAGAACCACCAGCCAGGACAGTACTTCCTTTCTCTCTATTATATCTATCTGATTATATAGAAACTAGCGGCCCGGTGCATGGATTCGTGCACCGGTGGGGTCCCTTGGCCTGGCCTGTGCCCTCTCGCAATCTGGGACCCCTCGGGGGATGTTGAAGAGCCAGTTTCGGCTGGATCCCTGCAGGCCAGGTCGAGGGACCCCACCGGTGCATGAATTTGTGCACTAGGCCAGTTTTGGCTTGATCCCTGCAGGCCAGGTTGAGGGACCCCACCGGTACACGAATCCATGAATTGGGCCTCTAGTATGCATATAAGATTTTTGGTTAATCTCTTCTTGCCCTCCGCCCTCCCCTCTGAGATTCATCAGTCTGTTCCATGTTTCCATGCCTGTCCACTGAGCATCTGCCTCCTGATGGTCATTGCACGTCATAACTATTGGACGGTTGGGTGGTCACTTAGGCTTTTATATATATAGATTATAATATATTAATATCCCAGAGGCCCGGTACATGAAATTCGTGCACTCGGGGGGGAGGGGGCCCTCAACCCAGCCTGCGCCCTCTCACAGTTCGGGAGCTCTCGGGGGATGTCTGACTGCTGGCTTAGGCCTGTTCCAGCAGTCAGACATCCTTAGCACTGCCATGGAGGCGGGAGAGGCTCCCGCCACCGTCACTATGCTAGCCAGCCATGAGCCTGGCTCCCCACAGGGGGAGTGCACTGACCATCAGGGGGCAGCTCCTGCACTGAGTGTCTGCCCCCTGGTGGTCAGTGTGCATCATAGTGACCGGTCGTTCCGCCATTTGGTTGACTTACATATTAGCCTTTTATTATATAGGATTATGATTATATCTAATGTATTATAATAAAAATAGTATCTCATTATATAGACACTAGAGGCCCGATGCACAAAATTCTCCCAGCTGCCGGCATTGGCTTCCCTCTGGCACCCAGGTTACATATTAGCCTTTTATTATATAGGATTATGATTATATCTAATGTATTATAATAAAAATAGTATCTCATTATATAGTATCTCATTATATAGAGGCCCGATGCACAAAATTCTCCCAGCTGCCGGCATTGGCTTCCCTCTGGCACCCAGGACCTGGGCTTCCCTCCGGCCGCTGTCAGGCACCTGGGAACCGGGCTTTCCTCGCAACCCTGGCTTTGTGTGGAAGGTCGTCCAGTCTAATTAGCATATTATGCTTTTATTATTATAGATACTATACCACATTTCATTTCTCCACTTATCATTAGAGGGACAGTGGGTTGTTTCCACTTTTTGGCTATTATCAATAATGCTGTTACGAACATTTATGTACCAGTTTTTGTGCAGACATTTGTCTTTGCTTAGGTATACCTAGGAGTAGAATTACTAGAACATATGGTAACTGTTTAACTTTTTGAGGAAATGTCAAACTTTTTCCAGTGGCTGTACCATTTTAAATTTCCACCAGCAGTGTTTGAGGTTTCAAATTTTTCATATCCTTTCTCATCCTCCTAAGTATTTTTATTTGTAAACTAGGAGAGTAAATTATCCATAGAGAAGAGCACCAGCAAAAGAAATAGTACAGGCAATTAAGAAATGTTGACCCCAGGATTAATGCTTGCTTTCTTATTATTATTTTAATTAGCAATAAGTTATTTTGATATTATGGATCGGAATAATTCAGGTCCCAAAACCAAACTAAATAGATGATTTCCTTTACCTCCCCCCCCCCCCCCGAGACATTCATAATCTGTACATTTTCTGGGATGTAGTATGTGAAGTCCAAAGGACTCAAACACTGGAAAATTAGAACTCTGAAGTCCAACTCTGGCTAAGGTACTATATAAATTCACGTATTAGTGGCAGTCAAGTCAAGAATTAATAATGCCTTCTATCACAGCCTGAGCATTGGCAATGAATTCTTTTATTCTGGGGCCTTTGAGAACCTCTGTTTCCCCAAAATGAAATGTTAAAATAGATACCTATTTATAAAAAAGAAAAAAAAAATCCTAAGATAATATTTTGGACTATAGATGGTCTCATGTAAGGTTGTATTTCTATTTGAAAGAAGATACAACAGCTACATTTTCCTGAAAAAACAAGTAAATGAAACATATCAGATATGAAAGCTAAGGCTCTACCATATCCATAAACTCACAAATTTTAAACAACATAGATCAGTTCATAATTAGCAAAAAGGAAGGATGGAGTATGGGACAGTTTTCCACTGGAGTAAAAATGTTTAGTGGCAGTAATACTTACCCCTATTATATGTCTGCCACAGTTACTAATTTGTTTTTCAGAATAGTGCAGATTGGAGTGAAATTTGGCTTTTAGAATCCAGAAAATAGATTCTGGTTTTCCAAATATCTCCAAGCCAACACTGGGTTTATATCTTTATTTCTTATAACTCCTCAGCAACTAATTTCTGATTTTGAGGAATGAATAGCTAAATATAAGCTGGTCTTTTTAAAATAAAGAAAAATGAATGGATTCCTTCAACCAGCTCCATCTAATGTAAATAACAGAGTATTATTAAACAACATCATTTAATATTTGGTCTGGAAACAAAGAATGAAGATTACAGACTGGTACCTAAATACCTTTGTAACTCAAACGTTTTAAATCTGAGAAAAGTAAGCAATCGCTGTGAATTAAAAAGTCTGTAAACTTGGAGTCCCTGAAGCATCTATAAATCTTGTTTTATTAATATTATCTTATACCAATTCTAAGAAAATGGATTGACACAAGGTCACTGATATGAGGGACAGACAGATCAGATAAAGAGCATAAGGCAGCTCGTCATATGTGAGTGATTGACTTACAGCTACTTTTTTGCCTAATCAGCAATCATTAAAGGGTCTTTACTATTTATGACACATTCTCATTTCTTTAAGATTATGCAATATTATGTACAAAATAAACTCTTTATTATTATTTTAGAATATTAGAATATGCTGTTAGAGCCCCAACCTGAGTTGCAGTGATAGTTATAATAACTTACCAGCTGGGCTAGTAGAAACTCGCTGGGAAGGTTGTCTGAAGCCAGGTGCCTTGGAGTTGTCAGGGTGCACATTTTCCAAGTGTCCAAGTACAGAGTTATTTAGGAACGCTGACTGAACAGTGAAAGAGGCATCTGCAGCAACTCGTGAGGATAGTGGAGCATCTCCCCACCCCTGGTTAGCTGGCACCTGACTACTATCAAAAAGACTACTGAAGTGATTGAAAAGTGTGGCTGGGCCAAATGTCGGCGGCAACGATTTATTTGCTGGGTTAATGTGCATCTGAGAACCATTCATAATGTTCATGGCTGAAGAAAGCTGCACTGCAGCTGGTGGGCCTTGAGGTGGTGTTAAAGGAACTGGATTTGTAACAAAAATAGACTGGGGATCCTGGTGTATAGTAGCATTTGGAACCACTGAGTAAAAAGAACCTCTGGGCTGCATTCGATGAGAAACTCGAGGTGCTGGTACAGCTAATTGAGGTAAATTATTGTTATCCTGATTATCAGCAGCAACCAATCTTGGTGATGCCAAAGTCAATGGAGTAGGTTCTGAATTAGATGCAAATGGCATTGACATAGGACTTAATTCAGACACACTGGATGACTGGGCCTCCTCCTGTGTGTTGTTAGAAGGAGTGGGATTGTTGGATGGGTGAGTTTCTGGAGCTCCTGGCGTGTTACTGGCAGAGCTATTACAGCTATTTGCAGTTGAAGATGGCGTACACAGGTTTGCCGTGGGTTGGTCCTGTGTGGACACTTTTTCTTTTGGGGATGGCATGGCAGAGAAAGACTCCATCTTTTGTGAAGAAAGTTGTGCTTGAGGAGCACTTGTAGATAGAAATGTGGTGGGAACTTGTCCACTAGTGATCGGCGCAGAAGAGACTGAAGGCAGGGAACTACAAGTGCTTGTCACAGAAGAAATCACTGTTGCTGGAGGGCTTGTCTTAGGCACACAGGCAAACAACTGCTTTCTGACTGACGAAGGAGTCCGGGTGTTAGTCACGCACAGTTGCTGACTGGCAGCAACTACAGAAGGGACAGTGATAGGACAACTGGCAGTGGCTAGTCCAGCAGACTCAGAGGGTAAAACAGTACCATTCTGGTTAGGTAGACGGCTTGTAGAATTATGCTTGGGAGAGCTATTTGCGTTGCCAGGATTCACAGGTCTCACTGGGAATGGTCCCCAAGTGTTAGGAGAGGGTGAAAAGGTTCCTCCAAACTGGGCCATGGGTAAGCGAGGATGCCGAATCTGTTGCATAGTCTGAGCAGCCAGGAGAGCAAAATGAGGATGGGGATAGGCTAAGGGTAGAGAAACTGGGAAAGAAGAACGTACATTTGTTGGAACGTTCTTGTTAAGTTTATTAGTGGCCTGGAACGTAGATAATGTTGTTGCCTGTGAAGTTACAAGAGTTGGAGCACCTAAGGGAAATGCATTTTTACTGGAAGCTGCTGTGGTGCCTACTCCAGACGAGAAGTTTGCATGGATGGACTTGGTGCTGGTAGGTGTTCTGATATGATTTTTAGGAATCAAGTCTTCCAGTTCCTTAGCAGGATCTTGAATAAGTGCATTGATAAGTTGAACTGCATATCTTGTTGATTCTGTACCACCCCTGGGGAAAAAACAAAAAAACAAAAACAAGATAAATAACATAAAAAACAACAACAGGTAATCTTTGCCATGAAAGAAAATTCTTTATTCTACTATAACTAACAAAAGTATGCTTCTAATAAAATTTAATTTCTACACAGAACTAGCAATATACATTTTCTACAGTTACCTTATTGTGATCATTCTCTCGCCATTCTTATCTTTTTGCTTATCCACATCAATATGGGCACCAGTAACATCTTGTATTGCGGTGATGTTGCACCCTCCTCTTCCCATTATCCTGGAAACCACTGAAGCTGGAACAGATAATTTCTTTGACCTAAAAAACGAAGACTACACATGAGCTTAAGCGTTCAAATTTGCCTGAAATATCACACGTAAGCCAAACTGCAGTGACCATACATATTGACTCTTTCTAAATTAAAATAATGCATACTATATTGTTAAATTTCATACTGAAAAACAGTGGCTAGCTTATCAATATCAACAAGTTATACTTAGCAATAAAGAAGAAAGCCTCAGATTTGAACTACATAAAAAGCAATTCACAAGTGGAGCCTGGGACTTCCACTTGTGTGTGAGGTGAGTGGTTGCCAGAGAGAAGACTAGAGGCTGATAATGGGATCTGACAAGATGGCCCGATGGCCCTGCAGGATTGTCAAAGAAACCCAGTGTTTGCTGGCACAACCAGATGAGAATAACACCCATTATTTTCAGGTGGTCATTGTAGACCCTAGAATTCCTTCTTTGAGGGAGGGACCTTTAAACTTGAACCTTCCTTCCAGAAGAATACCCAAATGGCAGCTCCTAAATAATAAAAAATTATTATTTTAATGTAGACAAGTTGGGAAGAATATATTTAGATATTTTGAAAGCTAGAGCATGGAGTAGGCTATATGCCATGAATAATACTTAAATCTATCTGATCAAGTGTGCATCCTGTCTCCTGTTTTGACAAGACTTCTTACTTTTTTGTTTGCATTTATGGACACAAAATCTTGGAAATATTACAGAATAAAAGCCCAGAAACTTCAGTCCTTTGGTGATTAAATGCACACCTGCAAATCTATGTCTGTCCTGATTCCCTGTTGTAAAGTGTGAACAGAGGTTAGAAGTATCATCTGGATTGTGTATGACATTTAAAAGCAGTGACCTCTGCTTTTATTCATTTCACCATCATGGCTTAAGTATAATGCAGTGTGAAGGTAGTTATCAGGGTTAGCTGCAGGAGTGTGGGTGTTTTTCTTTTTTTGAGAAGGAAGTTAGTTTTAATTTTATAGGCTCCTTTCCCCCCTTTTTATGATGATCTAATTGCATTAAAAGCAGCTAATCAGTTTTTCAGAATATGCTCTCTAGCCAAGTCTAACTTTATTTAAATGTTATAAATAGATAAGCTTGATGTCTCAATCAAAATGGGACCATTAAACAAACACCATAACCCTAATAACATTGTGATTTGCTGTCAAGTATAGAATCTTCCCTTTAAGAAGAAACTTGTGGCCATTTTGTAAACTAAATCTTATGTTTTTAAAAAATTTTTGTTTTAATATTTTTTGTTATTCTAAATCCAATGTTTGTTGTTTCCTATAAAATATGCATGCAAAATTTATACATTACTTCTAATTTTGCTTTAGCCTACAGCAGGGGTCCTCAAACTACGGCCCACGGGCCACATGCAAATACAAATATTGTATTTGTTCCCGTTTTGTTTTTTTACTTCAAAATAAGATATGTGCAGTGTGCATAGGAATTTGTTCATAGTTTTTTTTAAAACTATAGTTCGGCCCTCCAACGGTCTGAGGGACAGTGAACTGGACCCCTGTTTAAAAAGTTTGAGGACCCCTGGCCTACAGTTTAAAATAATAGCTACATTCAAATTATTCATTAATTAATTGGTCTATGTAAGTTAAAAAGATAAGACTAATTTTTCTTACCTTCGTACAACTTCTTTCCATCCTTCTTCTCTTTTTTGCCCCCTTTTAGGGCTAGTCAGATTCAGCTTTATGTTTGGAGAGTTTAATGGCAATGACACTGACTTATAGCTTGTTGATAAGGAACTAGAATTCACTTCACCTTCAGGTCTGAGAAGAGAGAAATAGCAAATCCAATAAAAGATCAATTTTAAGTTAGAAAATCAAGAGATTATTATGGACAACATTATGCTGAAATACTTGAATTAAAATTTGGCACATCAAATTATCAACAATTCAGAAAAATAGAAATAGGACAAAGAGTCCAACATCTATTTTAGTATAAAAATGGATTCGGAAGTCAAAAGTTGTACTATCCTATATAATAAAACCCTAATATGCAAGTCAACCGAATGGAGGAATGATCAGAGGAATGACTGGTCCCTATGGTGTGCACTGACCACCAGGGGGAAGATGCTCAACGCAGGAGCTGCCCCCTGGTGGTCAGTATGCTCCCACAGGGGGATAGCCGCTCAGCCAGAAGCCAGGCTTACGGCTGGCAAGCACAGTGGCGGTGGTGGGAGTCTCTCCTGCCTCCGCTGCAGGTGGGTGGTAAGGAGCAAGGGGTCTTGGACTGTGAGAGCCCAGGACTGCGAGAGGGATGTCTGATTGCCGTCAGGGGATTGGGCCTAAGCTAGCAGGCAGACATCCCCCAAGAAGTCCCGGACTGGGAGAGGGTGCAAGCCAGACTGAGCCCTCCGCCCCCCGCACAAATTTCATGCACTGGGCCTCTAGTAATCAATAAAAGTGACATAGTGAAAATCAAGATATTGCTAATATTTTCAACTTCAAAATGAAATCATAAACATTTTTAATAATCTCATTTTATAATTAGCACATTAGGACATTGATAAATTTCACTTTTGAATACTGAAGACAGATAATGAGATGGATTTAAACTGTTAACACAACTTGTGCTTGAAGAATAAACCTCAACTTACTGTGCCAAGCATGGAAAAACAACAACAGGTGGATGTCGAGTTAACATATTAGAAAAATTTACCGTGTTTGAGTTTTAGAAGTGGCAGGACTTATTTTTTCTTCTTGGGAATGGAGTAGCAGTGAGGCGTATCTCCTATCACCAGAGGAATTCACATCCATACTGAAGTTTAATTCTTGGCTTTTACCACCACTGCTACTCTCACTGTTGCAATCTGTGCTGTCCAAGTTATCTGAATCACTGTTCCCTCCTGCACCACCACCTCTGGGTTCTCCATTTATTTTATTTTTGTCTGCCTTTTGCTGTGTTAAGGATATATGTTGTTCTGGTAATATTAAAGGTGCAGTGGGAGGGGTCTCTTTTGTTTTGTTCTTCTTATTTTTCCTATTGGTGCTGGGGGTTGTCACCACATTAGCCCTTTTTTTCCCAAACGCGTTTGTGAATGTTGCAGATGTTGCAGAGATTCCAATTGTGGTGGTGGTGGTTGCACTAGGAGGCTCTATGGGAACTTCTTGCTCCACTGAAATTATCAAAAAGGATAAAGATCACATTGAGAGCCACAGATGTCAAAATAAATTATTACATATATACCTGTAACATTTCATAATAAGTTAGTCCTTTACTCATATTTTCCTTATACCTATATTTACTAGTAAATAAAGAAATCTTGCCCTTGCTCAGTGGTTAGAGTATTAGCCCAAGGACTTAAGGGTCTTGGGTTTGATTCCAGTCAAGGACACATACATCAGTTGCAGGCTCGATCCCCGGCCTGGGTCAGGGTGTGTGCAGGAGGCAACCAATTGATGTGTCTCTCTCTGTCTCTCCCTCTCCCTTCCACTCTCTCTAAAAATCAATGCAAAAATTTCCTCAGGTGAGGATTAACAAAACAAACAAAAAAGAAATCTTTACTGTTGTTAGAACAAATATACTATATCTTACTTTGATGTCTAAACTGGTATAAAACATTCATACAGTTAACACTTTTAAGATCTGAAATGTTAGTCTCATGAACTAACCAAAAATCACAATATAGTTTGAATTTAGAAAAAATTTCAAATAGGATTTTAGAATTAGAATTCAAATATAGCAAGATTATTTGCTTACTACAAGCACTGTATAATAAACAACTCTTTGAGAATAATAAAACCCTAGTGCTGTAGAGCTTTGCGCCTGAACCTTAGCTAAAAATTTATTGAGGAAACAGACCTCTCCCATTTTCCAACAGGGGTGGGTGGGAGAGTAGAGAGCAGAGAGGAACCTGGCATACCTCTTTCACTGTATTGTTTTTAGGACATACACAATGTTTTACAGGGAGACTTAAATTACAATTGAACTTCCTCAATTTATATGTTTGTCTCCCCACCTCCCCCCTTCTAGTTCTCTATATCACTTTACAATGTAAAATGTTTGGAAATATTTACTACGAGTCAATTGTCAATTTCAGATTAACAAAGTAATTGAATATTTAACTAGATTAATTATAATTACATCAAAGGCATTCAAAATGAAGTCGCTAAACAGGAGAATTTTATCACTAATTTGATGGGTCATTTCTCACCATCTTCATCATTTTCCTCTTCATCTTCATCCTCTGGTAGTTCTGAATTCTCCTTAGGTTTGTTTTCTTCATCTTCTTCTTGCTTCCTTTTCTGCTCCTCTTTTTTCTTTTTTCTCTTTTCTTTTCTTTTCTCTCTTTTAGCTGCAAGAGCCTGCTTTCTGCTCTCCTCTCTTGACTGAAATAAAGATGTATCATATTATCAACAAAGCAATAATTTAAAATCAAGAATGAAATGATATTTCTGTTTATGATATGAGGAGTTTCCCATGAATATCAGTTTCAAAACACATTTATGAAAGCAACAAAAGAAAAAATAAATAAACCGGACTTCATGAGAAATAAAAGTTTTTGTGCTTCAAAGGAACCATCAAGAAAGTAAAAAGACAACCCTTAAAAAGGAAAAAAAATTTCAAATCATACACCTGGCAAAGGACTATATCAAGTATACAGTAGTCTCCCCTTATCCATAGTTTCATTTATTGCAGTTTCAGATTTTTGCATATGGCCTGCAAAGCCTACAATATTTACTATGTGGCATTTTATAGAAAAAATTTGCCGATCTCCTATGTTAATAAGAAAGGGGCTGAGGACTGAAAGAAAAGACTGTATTTTCAATTAAAAATCATTTCATCACTCTGTTGCCATAAATCCAATTGGCTATTTAGGGAATTGCTGACCATGTATGTTCCTGGGTAGTTACAAAAAAATAAAAATTAGGATGGGACCTTAGCTGTCATCTAACTTCAAACTTCGCTTTATTTAAAAATGAAGACAGCTTTTTTCCTTCTTATTTTAACTGTAATCAAGTTTATCATGAAAGTACTAAAATTTATTTAATTCCCTAATTATTAAGACTTTAAGGTTTACAGTTTTTCCCCTGTTATAAGCAATACAACAATGAATGACCTTATATACATTCCCATTTTTGAGCATTTGTCTATCTATCTTAGATAAAATTTCTATAAGTGGAATGGCTAGAATAAGGGTATTCACTTTTTTAATTGATTAATTTGTCAAATACCTCTGTTAATAGTTATACTAATTTATACCATACATAAAGAAATCATACTAGAGTGCTAATTTCTCCATACCTTTGCCATCAACAGCTATTACCAGACCTTTAAATTTTCTTTTTAAAGTGTTTTTTTTTTTTTAAATATATTTTATTGATTTTTTACAGAGAGGAAGGGAGAGAGATAGAGAGTTAGAAACATCGATGAGAGAAACATCAATCAGCTGCCTCCTGCACATCTCCTATTGGGGATGTGCCCGCAACCCAGGTACATGCCCTTGACCAGAATCGAACCCCGGACCCCTCAGTCCGCAGGCCAACGTTCTATCCACTGAGCCAAACCGGTTTCGGCTAGACCTTTAAATTTTGACAGTCTGGTAAAAAAAAAATCACTCTTTTATAGTGCATTTCTTTATTTATAAAGTTAGGCATTCTCCATCTATTGACCATCTATATTTATTTTTCTGTGAATCATTCCTTATTCTGAGCAAGTTCTCTTTTTCTCATTGATTTGTAAGCAATCTTTTCTTCTGTTTTTAGCTTACAAGTTTTATTTTGTAATTTTTAAACTAAGAACTGGTGTCAAAATTCTGACATTTTCCAAAATGACTGTATCTTTTTTCTTCGTTTAATCAACAAAATATTTTCAGGTTAAGCTATCTCTTGCATTCCTAGAATGACTATTTGATCATGGAGCTTGTTCTTTTAATATAAATTCTGGATTTAATAACAACATCCTCATTTCCATGGTAAACAGACTGAGCCTCAGAAAAGTGATCTTGTTTATTTAACTTTTTCCATTTTACCACACATTCTAGGCTACTTGACACTTAGTTTTTGAGGATATAATAAACCACTTATAGCCCAGATCTTATAATAAACAAATGATTTCCCATGTTTTACTAAACTTTTTCTTAGACTAATATTAAAACCACTTAGGCAGTAAGTATCATTTGTTAAATTGTGATCTGCTTGAAAACTAGACCTCACTTATATGGTTCAAAATATTTTTTATGGCCCTAACCGGTTTGGCTCAGTGGATAGAGCATCGGCCTGCGAACCGAAAGGTCCCAGGTTCGATTCCGGTCAAGGGAATGTACCTTGGTTGTGGGCACATCCCCAGTGGGAGGTGTGCAGGTCTCTGTAAAAAATCAATAAAATATATATTTAAAAAAATATAAAAAAATATTTTTTATGAATGATAGGTTCAAATTAAAAATTAATCTACTAATCATTTCCTTTGAAAAATATTTTGTTCAAAATATTGGTGTATAGGTGGCAAATTTACCTTAGATTTTCAATAATTTTTATAAGGAAAATTATTTTTCCCACTCACCTTTTCCAGATCAAGTTCCTTTAAAAGAATACTTGCATTCTTGTTTGCTTCCGCAGCCTGTTGGTCTTTAGCCTTCACAATTGTCTCAACACATTGATGACATTTTTTCAACAGCTCCTATAGTGAAAAATGGAATTATTTCAATTAAGGAACACATAACATACTAGGCCAAATAAAATGAGCTGATTAGCATACCAAAATCCAGGGCTTAATTCAAATAAATAAATTAAATTACCCTTTGAGTCTAGTCATGAATCAATCTTTAATTAAAATAAGGAACTACTCCCTAAAAACTTTATATGTTCTCAGAAAACTTTCTAAATTGGGCTAATGGTCTAGTAATAAATTTTGGCTGCAGTCACTGTAATTATGGTTCAGAAGAGTAAGGGAATCATTTATCAGAAGTATTATAGCCAGCCCTAACTGGTTTGGCTCAGCGGATAGAGCGTAGGCCTGTGGACTGAGGGGTCCCGGGTTCGATTCCGGTCAAGGGCATGTACCTGGGTTGCCGGCACATCCCCAGTGGGGGGCGTGCAGGAGGCAGCTGAATCGATGTTTCTCTCTCATCGATGTTTCTAACTCTCTATCCCTCTCCCTTCCTCTCTGTAAAAAATCAATAAAATATATTTAAAAAAAAAAAAAGAAGTATTATACCCATTCTCTATTTACAAATGGAGAAACTAAAGTATAGAAAGACGAGGTGGTTAGTCTCACAGAGGACAAAAGAACAGGTCCGTAACTGCACATTTTGGCACATAATTCCACAAAAAACAAAAATATGCTCCAATAGCATATTAAACCTACCTTATCTGTAATTGTTGCTATGTATCTCATGCATTCTATATCAGAAGGGAACTGATTGACTTCTTTCACCAAATATTGAACAACTTTTACATGACCCTGTAAAGAGTACAACAGAAAACACACCAAAAAATCTCTTAAAATTTTCCCCATATGCTTAAAAACTTAAGAGTAAAAGGTATATTAATACTTTAAGATAGTTTATTAAATTACAAATTGAAATTATAAAAATAAAATCAGTGTTGAGTTTATAAACAGAAAAGATAAGTACAACATGCTCGGGAATATATGGTGGACCAAAAGACATTTCTCCTGAGTTTAATATGCCTATTTTCCATGGAAAGTAGAAAAGTTTTTGTAAATTAGTCCTAAAAACAAAGAGGATGTTCTAGATTCCAAAGCATTATTTTGGCTCTCACCTTACTAAAACAAGGTAGATTGCCTACATTTATCTGAGTCCTATAACTTGACTCTAGAAAGAACACTTCCTAATTGTTATTATCAGAGGTTGAATAATTTGTAATCAATTCTATTATAAAATAACCAAACTTGCATAGTTTCCCCTCCTATTAAGGTTCTAAGACATCCTCAAAAATTGGTCTGGTAGTGACACAAAACAGAAATTGGTTGCCTTCAAAGCAGGGAATTAATTGAACACAGGCATGATAAAACTTTCTAGAATGATGGAAATATTTTATATCTTTATGGGGTTTGAGTTACATGGGCATATGCATTTATCAAAACGCATTAAACTATGAACCTCAGACTTGTGCATTACACTGGATATAAATTATACCTCAATTAAAAGGAAAGAAAATTTTGTAAAAAGAATTAAGTCTAGAAAATATCTTAAGATATTTTTCTAAGACACATAACTTATACTACTCTCATTCAATAGCTATTTAGTTACCAGCTATTATGAGTTAGGCACTGTGCTAAACAACTGGGTATGAACAGTGGTGAAAAAGTCATGAATCTTATTGTTCATGGATCTTCCAGCCTAGTTTAGGAGATAGGCATTAAAAAAGTAAACATGTAGCCCTGACTGGTTTGACTCAGTGGATAGAGCGTCGTCCTGCAGACTCAAGGGTCCTGGGTTCGATTCCAGTCAAGGGCATGTACCTTGGTTGCCGGCACCCAGTAGGGAGTGTGCGGGAGGCAGCTGATCAATGTTTCTCTCTCATCGATGTTTCTAACTCTCTGTCTCTCTCCCTTCCTCTCTGTAAAAAATCAATAAAATATATTTTAAAAAAAGTAAACATGTATTTGAACATATAAACTACACATTTGGATGAGGAAAATAATAGTGTACTATAAAAGAGAAGAAGAGGGACCTTTTCAGATTGGGTGTTACAGAAGAACTCTAACATTTAAAATGGGAGCTAAAGGGTAAGTAGAAGTGAGTCAGGTGATGCAAGGGAAAGACATTTTGGGAAAAGAAAATCAGTGAGAAAAAGACCTGAGGCAGTTAAAAATTTATTGCTGAAGTGTAGTGAGCCAAGGGGAAGGGTAGTATAAATGACTGGTCTGGGGAGGCTGGCATGAGCCATATCCTACAGGGCTTTGTAAGCCATGTTAAGTCGTTTATAGTTTATCATAAATGCAATGGGAGGGCTTTAAAAAATATAACAGATAAGTGAGCCTTTATATATATATATATATATTTGGTATAATAAGTTTTTATTAAAGAGTCCACTCATTTTTTTTCCTCCTGAGGTAGAGAAGACATCCATCTGCATATAATAACTGCCCTTAAATCTAATGCTTTATGTACAATGACATAACAAAATTAGTCTAGACAAGAGTTAATCTAATAAAGTTGCTTGTAGTGAGCTACCATATAACTATTAGATTCGCCACAAAAAGTGAAAATATAGCAGTTATTTGTATATAGGTTTATAGTCATTTATCCAAGGTCAATTTATCTTTCTTATATGGTTTTAACTTAGTATTGATTTAAAATTATTAAATTTTATCCCCCCTCACCCATATCAAATTACCTTCCGAAATGCTGACATAAGAGGTGTGATTTTCCGGTTATCTGCTGCATCCACATCAGCACCTGCTTGCACCAGCAACTGCACCACATCAAAATGTCCACCATTGGATGCCAACCAAAGTGGTGTGTTTCCCTTCTTGTTATGAACATCAATATGGGCTCCTCTATAAAATCAAAAGATGTTAATGTAGTTTGTTTCCTATGAGAAGAGGCAAACTTTTTCTATTTTTCTCTATTTGTCTTTTATCTGTTACAAAATATCATGTAAACAATCTGTTCTTTAAAATGTCAGTAAAGTAGAACAATTTTATTAGCTTTAATGGCTCTGGAAAGTGAAAGTAGAAAGTTCTATATATAAATAAAAAATTTACCCACCTACTAATGAGGAGCTCACAAAATTTATAGTGACCTTTGTCCGCTGCTATTGTTAAAGCAGTATCTCTTGAGGAAGGCACAGGGGGGGCATTGACGTCTGCTCCTTTATCAAGGAGAACTCTCCCAACCTCGGCATACCCTCCAGAAGCAGCTTCCATCAAGGGGGTAAGACCAGTCTGTTTAAACCAAAAATTATTCAAGTAAATTAATATAACTTTTCATAAGGCTAAAACAAGTGACTTGTGTTTTCTATTTGTTATTTTCTCTCCTAAAACAGCTAAGCAATATTCACAATCTTAAATTTCACTAAACAGCAAGTAAAAATTGTTAGATTCAATTGACAAGCTAGAATGAATTAACTTATACGACCACATGCTAAATTAAAACAAACAAAACAATTTTATAACTTCTATACTGTGATAAATTTATGCATGAGACCTTAACTTCTCTGCACAACAAATAAAGATATTAAAAATGAATAAAAAGTAAGTAAAGCACAATGTTCAATGGGAAAACTTTTTTTAGATAATACTTTATCTGAGAACGCAGTTTGCTAAATACCTCAGGGTAAATTCTTTCAATCCTATTCAAACTTAGGTAAAATAGATTGAAATATCATATATTTTATTCATGTCTTTTGTTCATGACATTTTTGCCAAAAGGTATTTCCTACTGGTATTATTTCTAAAGTAAGATGATTTATCTAGGACTTCTAATAATCAAGTGGGTCACACTGAGTATCTGTAATATAAAAGATAAACTGGCCGTAACCGGTTTGGCTCAGTGGATAGAGCGTCAGCCTGCGGACTGAAAGGTCCCAGGTTCGATTCCGGTCAAGGGCATGTACCTTGGTTGCGGGCACATCCCCAGTAGGGGGTGTGCAGGAGGCAGCTGATCGATGTTTCTCTCTCATCGATGTTTCTAACTCTCTATCCCTCTCCCTTCCTCTCTGTAAAAAATAAAAAAAAAAATAAAAAGAGATAAACTGGATAGCAGGAAAGGCTCATTTCTCTTTGTGCGATGAAAAGTTTTAATAAAATTCAGGGAGAAAAAATGAGATTTTCATTCAAACCCTTTCAACTTGAAATGACTACCAGCTTGGCGATTGTCTGATTATTAAGAATTTTACACAAGTTACTTTTTTCTAGAGTTCTAAGTACCTAATAGTTCTAAGCCAAAAAAGAATTCAAAACACTGACATACTCTTACTTTCTGAATGCTAAATAGTCATAAAATTGTCAGAATTTGGCTATCTTAAATTTATAATCTATGCAGTAATTTAAAAAAATTGATTTCAGAGAGAGGAAGGGAGAGAGAGAGAGAAACATCCATGTGAGAGAGAAACACTGATTATGATTAGTTGCCTCCACACACACCCTGATCTGGGATTGAACTCACAACCTGGGTATGTGCCCCAACAGGGAATTGAACCCGCCACCTTTTGGTGTACAGGATGATGCTCCAACCAACTGAGCCACACTGGCTAGGGCTGTGCAGTGATTTTTTGGATTGGGGTTTTTACCATTGGTAAGCACATGCCTTATTAAGGCACATGCCTCTTTAAAAATCTACATTAATGGGCTCTATAAAATAATCTTACTACTAAAAAATATCTTACTATAAAATAATATTACTACATTCAAAAGCTGCAAATTGGAAGATTAAGAGAACCACTCAAACCTGAGATTGAAAAAAATACTGATTCTATTTTCTTTACTGTCCTTAATAAAAGTCATGAATAGTGATAATGTGTTACTGACCACTGTATAGCACAAATTCTCCAATCTTGCATTAGGGCATCAGTTTTAAGTTACGACAATTTAAAACAGTACATCAATTTGAGTTGAAATGCCATTCTTTTTCTACTAGAAATATATCTGATGTAGTTGACAAATTATAAAGTGCTTACCTTTGCTCTATGCTCAACATTGGCTTTTCGGTCCAGAAGCAAACTCACTACTTCTGCTCGACCTTGAAAACAGGCCAAGGTGAGAGCTGTGTTCCGATTGGTCTCTATTTGGGCGTTAATGTCTGAACCCATATCAAGCAACAATTTCACTGCAGGAACATGTCCATTCATTGCAGCCAACATCAGGGGAGAAATACCTAGTTTACTCCCAGTCCTCAGGGGGGGAAATTAGAAAATTAAAATATGTTACCTGTTGTTTTTTTTAAAAAGCATAGAGAACGTAAAGGATGAAAATGTTTCAGTAAAAAGAAACCAATGAATGATTTTATTTGTTTAGACTAATAATTAGAAATAGGAAAATCTTACAATTTAAAACAGAATCCTTATTTAGAGTTATAAATTTTCAACTATACATAACCAAGTACTTTCTGAAGGAGACCTCTTTAAAAATAGTCACCTTAGTTGAAATAATCTGTGATTATTTATAAGCACATTACAGGAAGAACTGTTGGCTCTTGTAACTTTAATACTATCTTAATTAAAAATGGTGTCTATCCAAATATTTAGGGGAAGACACTTATTCTAAGTAGTAACTTATTAATCATGAGTAAAAAACGAGATAGGCGATAGATACCTTGAATTAATTTCTGCCCCAGCATTAAGCAGAATCTTAATGATATTAACATATCCTCCAGATGCAGCTAGACTCAGTGGTGTATAATCAGACACATTCCTATGTTCTTTATTTGCACCTCGAGCCAGCAACAAGTCTACCACCTACAAAGTAAAATATGAACAGAGAATTCCAGTTTACACCAAGGGCTCAACTTATCATTAATTAGACTTTGTATATTCAAATATCAGCATTAGGGAAATGGATTCAATTTCACATCAAGGAATTCAGAGGTTTGAAATCCCAATTGTACTGAAATCAAAAGTTACTCTTTCTATTCGTCAATTGTTGAGTAACCATTTGCATTTCAAATGTGTTAGGATTGTGGTTCACTCATCATAGGCATATTTAAAATATAAGGGAACATATTTACAAAATGAAAATTAACATTAACACACCTCCTGACGTCCACCAGAACATGCCAATGAAAGTGGAGTATCCTTAGTTCGTTCAGACTGTGCTTCTATATCTCCACCTTTATCCAAAAGGATTTCAACAACGCCAACATGCCCTGCTGTTGCCGCCAGGATCAGTGGTGTGAAGCCTAAATCAGAAAATAAAAATCTCAAACAAATTTGTGGTTTTTACTTATTAAGCCACTGCTTTTATTTCTTGATTATTTTAGTAGGGAAAGTCTTTAGGGCAGATACTTGTAAGCATTTAACATAAAACTGCTTTAACCTCTAATTTGTTTGTGACAAAAATCCATAAACATCTATAAAAAGGAAATGCTAAGTCAAAGAGAACTATTACAGTTTATACTCATAGTGAACTTTGAAACCTCTGCATGATCAACTTTTGGATCAAGGAGAAAGGAAACCTGTACTTCACTGATAATTTATAGTCAAATTTCTGGAGAATAATTAGGCTCTGTAGATGAACAAATCTGGAATTTCAAATTGAAATATGCTTATCCATCTTTTCACTGAGACAGTCTAGAAACTACATAATGACAGTGAAAAAACCTGATGTAACTACACTCAGACATTTATTTATTTATTTATTTATTTATTTATTTATTTATTTATTTATTTATAATTGACCTTAGAGGAGGAGGAAGGGAGATAGAAATATTGATGTGAGAAAGACACATTGATCAGTTGCCTCCCACATACGTCCCAACGGAAATCCAACCCGTGACCGTACATAGGATGATGCTCTAACCAACTGAGCCACACTGGCCAGGGCCAGACTTTATTTTTGACTGACATTCCTTACCTTTTTTGTCTCTGTGTTCGATTTTAGCATCTCGTGCAATGAGTACAGATACGAGTTCTTCATGGCCACCTGCACAAGCTAATGTTAATGCTGTGTCATGATTGCTCTCAGTCTAGAAGGGGAAAAAATAAATTAGATTTTGTATTTTTACAACGGGGTTATCAATTGAAGAGCAAATATTTTCACAATGAATATAAAATGATAATATTCCTTTCCAAACAAAGAAAATAAAAATGTGCAAAATAAGTTTAAATAAAGCAATATACTCACATGTGCATCAATGTCAACTGAGGGATAGACAGGGGGCAATGACTGGGAAGCCACATTGCTTGGAGACTGTGAACAGGGTTCAGGTGTAAGACATTCTGTGGTCTGAGAGGAACTGTTTGAACCAGTGGGCACTCTGCTACTCACAGCTGAAAAACAATATCCATATTGCTGAATTCTACTAAAAGAGTAAAGTCATTTATAATATACAAAAAAATACAGAAAATATAAAATTCTGTATTAGTAATATAATGTAGTAACTAAATCCTAAGCTTTGGAGTCAGATGAACCTATTGGAGTTTCAATTTTTCTTAGGTGTAAAATGGGGAGAATAATAACAATACCTGCCTTGTAAGGTTGTTGGAAATACTCAGAATAATGCAGGTAAAATACTTAATATAGTGTCTGTTATTGAGTGCAAATGTAACAAATGGTAGCCTTTTACATTGTTAATAGAGAAAAATAGTTTCCTTTAAAAAAGTAAAGACTTTCTTAATTTATAAAAGGCAATTAGATAAAATATCCCAAGAACAATGCAAAAAAGGGGAGAACAAGTTAGAATATTTATCCCATTAATAGCAGAGAGCATTTTTTTAAATTCAATATTTGCTTTGAAAATTTGCCACAATGAATCAGTGTCTGAAAATCAAACTATTTTTCAAATGAACATTGGAACTTTTATTTTAGATCTCAAAATCTGGTGTTTGGAAACTTTGTTAATTGAAATGATGATACCTTTATGTCTATATATTTCTTACATTTCATTAGAGATGAAGTTTGCGTCATAGAGAGGGAAATAGGACCTATCTTAGAGGGATGCTGTGAATTGTCTGTGAGATAATTTATAAAAACATTTAACACAGTGTTTGGCATATAGTAAGTACTCAATAAATGTAATTATCAGATATTTTATAGAACTTTCAGTACTATTATTCACTAATTTGAAAAACATTACTACTTAAGAAGGAAAAAAACTCAGAAAAACACACAATCATTAATAATATGGAAAAAGACAACAAGGCTTCAGTAATGTCAATAAACAAACTTCTACCACCCAGACTGAAAGTCAAGAAAACATATAGGTCTTAAAGGGAACTATAAGCATTTCAAATGTTAGAGAATATTTTCTCTCTAGAATTTTGATAGGACCCCAATCACTTGCTAAGGTGTTCACAAGTGTGAATGACTCAGTTTAGATACTACTTTTAAAAATAACAAATTTTAAAAATGTTCAGATATGTTTCCATATGAGCTGTCCTCCCCATCAATATATATAAAATTATCTTGGCAATATGAATTTCTGCAGATTGTCACCACATAAGTATACATAATTTAAACTATCCATTTACAAATAGGAACAATTATTATATATATTTGTTTCACCTACAAGAACATGCAAATGAAAAAAAGTTTAAAAATTTTTATCATTTAATGAAATAAAAGCAGATATTTGTTATTCCTCCTCAAAACAGTTGCTATATTTGGAAAATAGCTCTAGTAAGCAAGATTCTAAAGATGATACATAGCACCTTTATAATAAAATTTTTACACTGGTCTCATAATTATTAACATACACCTTATTGAAGAACTACTTTTTAATCATTATTAATTTTATTTATTCATGTTACCTCTTGTTATATGAAAAACAGACATTTAAAAAATTTTAAACATTTGACTAGAGTGCTGTGCCAGAATGTGATGTTATAAAAAGACTTCTTTACAGAGTTGACTTTAAAAAAATACTTTTGTGCATTTAAAAACTATGACAAAAAATGTGTTGTCACACCAACTATTGTACATTTTCTACAACATTATTCTAGAAACATTTTTTCTACCTTGCAATAATGACAATCAGCAACATTTCATAGAAGTGACTTTAATAGGATTAATTACATACAAAAGTTGTAAAGATAAAACTAGAAAGTAGCAAAGATTTAAAGGTACATGTGGAATAAAGGTTTTATTAAGATAAATTTATACCAAGACTATAACATTTTCATAAATCCTAAATTGTTTCCTACCTCTGAATAAAATGTCTCTGAAAATGACTATAATTACTATCACAAGTCACATAATTCAAATTAAATTTATGCACTATCCTAAAAAGGTGATAAAAGAACTAAGGATAATATTCTACCTAATTCTTTATAAAATTTAAGACAGTTTTGTAGGCAATATGGAAGATGCTATATAAAAACCTCAGATACTAGGTTTACATAAGCTATGTTGTAAGGTTTTAATAAATTAAATCACTATAAATTGTTTAATTTAATAATAACTATTAGTTTCATATAAATAAATAAAAATCTATAAATAAAATATTAACATCTATTAGAGGAAATTATTATTTAAAGGCATTTTATTGTAAGTGCCCTAAAAAATAAGAGAGTTTCCTAATTATTCTTTTATTCTTAAGCCACATTGACTACCACAGTATTATTTAAAGTAAAATACTTTTGAATTGGAATTTGTTGTAAAGAGCCTATAACATGCCAATAGCAATAACAATGTGCTAAAGTCACAAAAATACATTAGACCTTATATGCACATCAAATCTTAATATGAAATAAGAAAATGTTATTTAATAGAATTTAGAAGTTTTGAGAAAATAATATCTTTAAGATCAATTGAGAACTTCAAGTTGAATCAGATGCAAGCATAATTACATCTGTGGTTCTTAAACCTGGCTGAACTGACTTTTGACTCTTGTTACTTACTAGCAACTTAATTTCCATAAGCCTCAGTTTTTTAAAAGAAAAACAGGTGGGAAAAGTATTTTATAGGATTACTATAAATAGCTCACAAGATAATGTACATAAGCATTTAGCACAGAGCTTAGTGCATGGTAAGTCCTCAATAAATTGAACAGATATTAGTGAATTTTTAGCCAATGTTTTTTATATATTCATAATGAAATTTTTACTAATGTTTCTAAAACTGCTCAATGGTCAAAGCTATTTTGAATTCTTTAAATTGCTTTGAATTTCCAGACCTCAGTTCTAGATATTTGAATCATGTAAAACTGAGGTCTGGACATGAGAATCACTTGTTATTATGATAAACTGTAAAAGTCCAATACTTTCAGAAGAAAAGGACTTGAAGAACCAGGCTCCCAATTAAGATTTTACATACATTTTGTCTGGGACTAAATCAAGTATGACACAAATAAGACTATATACTAAAAGACTAAGTTAGTCAGCTAATCAAGTTGTGACATTAATAAATTATGTATCTACCAACTCATCATGATAAATTTTGAGAATAAAACAGCATTAAAGAAAAAATACTCCTATATTTAAAGAGTAAATTTATTGCTATTATAAATGAATATTTTCTAAAGTATAATTGCAAGATGTACAGTATTCTCTCCTTTATTAAATACAAGGCTTGAGAACTAGATTTAATTTAGGTAAAACTAATCACATCTTTGGTCTCACATATAATCCTACCAATTTCAATGTATCATACACTTGTAGAATTAGGTATTCACCATTCATCCTTGTCTAATTTCTTTAACCTTCAATTAAAAAAATTAAGAGAAACCTGGGCTTAATGGAAATTTTTTTATATGAACATAATTTTTATATTTATTGGCTGATTTACAAGTTAAGGTTTATTAATAAAATAATATTACATAATATGGTAGACCAACTATCACTAGATATTAATGTCTAACAGAAATTAAATTTTATTAGTTTCTATTAACATTACATATCATTAAAAGATGTTTTCTAAATCAGCTTTTTGAAGTTTTATGTTAACTTTGTAAAAGACCACTTCAATTTAACAAATACTTTGGTGAAAGAAAATTTAACCTCCCCTACAAAACTATCCGACCATCCATTTACTACCATAAAGTTCAAATCTACAAGTTTACTTCTAGAGCTGTTTCTACAGTCTTTAAAAACAACAACCAAACAGGTCCTAAGTTACAACAATACTAGATCGATCAGTAATGTGGGTTTCATGATGTAAATTGAGTATTTAATTAGGAACATTTACAATGCTATTTATAGAACCTTAAAAATGTTATTCCAGGATCACTAGTTTTATTATTATTATTCATAATCATACTTCACACTCCAATATATACTTTTACCCAGATTAGAAATAAGAGCTATAAATAAACTCTGAGTTTATAATAACTCTCAATGCTAATGACACAAAGTTAATTTGAGTTAAGTGGCCGTGGGCTTAAGATATAAAAACCTAAATTAAATAATCTAACTCCTTAAAACATTTCCCAGCATTTTTATTTTCTTTACAAAAACTAAGATATTCCTCCTCTGCACAGTGGTACCTATATTCCATATTAGAGGAGCCTCACAGGCTATATTACAATTCCATAACCACTGAAAGTCATACACATGCCCCCCAAAATTCCTGATTTAAGTAATCTCATTCCACATTTTTAAAGATTCAGTAAAGATTAGGAAGACTAAAGACTCACAAAAGAAGAAAACTGGGATAGCATAATTGGGATGGGAGGAGGGAAGGAGAATATGACAAGAGGAAACAGACAACAGTTAAGGAAAAAAATTTTGCAATCGAGACAGAGGACTGGCCTGCCTTTGAATATCACTCCAGCTACATCTTAGTTCTTGGTCTTCATCCACTGTCAACAGCCATTCTGGCTGCATTTCTGAACTGGGCTCTCATGGAGGTGATACTTTCACCAGCCATCTTTAGGAAGGTAAATGATTAATTGCACTGTTTTCCCACTGCTGCAAGGACAATGAAAGGGAAAGTAAACTTGTGTACCTCATTTCATATCTAGTTGTAATTTTCCACAAAAAAAAAAAAGAGAAAAGAAACATACTTTAAGGTTACCAGGTCCTTTTTTATTTTTTATTTTGTGTGTGTGTATTATGTCTGTCTGTGTGCTTTCATCAAGACAGTTAATATAAAAATCCCAATCTCCAAATCATCATCAAGTTGACAATAATTTCTAACTTTATATATTCTAACCACAAATACTGTATCAACATGGAATGTTTATAGTTTTCTCTGAACATCCCTTTCAATTATAAATATTTAAATTGATCTAATAAAATTATAAATAAAGAAAAAACAATGTGATTTAGAATTCTGATTTCCAAACATAAAAATCACTAGCAGGAAAATTTAATGTATAATCTTTTGTGAATATCTCTAAAGCCTACAAAGGAATTCTATTTTGAGATCTCCTAACCAAGACACAACACAGGGTGGTTTTGACACCAAAGGTCTAAAGTAAAGGATCATGGCAGCTTTATTTCTTTGCCTTTGTAAGTAACAAAAAGAAGAGGGGCAAACACACTTTTGTGTGTTAGAGCTTAATTAAAATCACTTCCAAAACACCTCAGGAAATAATTTTACAAAGATCATTCTAAAACATAAAAGTACAAAGTTGGTGTTTTTGGAGGGTTGTGTAAAGAAGTTGAGCACACAGATTAAAGAAAAATTATTACAGATATATTTCTTAACCCACCTGCTATCAGGTCATCAAGAGTGTCGGTAAGCGTCTGGGCTGGAGTTGCAACCATTAGTCCATCTGGTTCTTGAACTAACAGCCCCTGATCATGTCCAGTAATATCAATCTGAGGCTGTCCTATAATCTGATGATTACCTGATATTTTGTGAAGTTCAAGAGAATTTGTCCCATTAGAACCTAAGTCACTGGAAAAGTTACACTGTGGAGATGATAAAGGCTGGACTGGGACAAAATCAATTTGTTCTGCCGATGGTGGAGACTGTTGCTCATCATCAACATCATTATCTTTAAATAAGACTGTGTCAACCTGAGGTAACTCTGAAAAGTGATCCTCTAGAAGACTACCATCTCCTTCCCCTTCTGGGAAGACTCCTCTATGAGAGCACTGCTGGTGTAGAGATACTGTGTCTTTCTGACCTTTGGTTTCCAAGTATTCTTTGGTAAATTGTTGCTGTGTTTTCATCTGCAACTGCCTTTCCACTTTCTGCAGCTCTTTCAGTATTTTCTTCTTCTTCTGGACTTGCTCTTCTCTGTTCTTTTTAAGTTCTTCTATCTTATCTTTGTTCAGAGGTTCACCTTGAATTAACTCCAATGACTTAAGCTGTGCTTTTTCAATAGCGCTAATTCTTTGTCCCAGTTCATTCAGCTTGCCTTCAGTCTCCTCTACTATGCACTCCAAAGGCTGGTATGGGTGAAAAGGTGGCAGTACGTCCTGATCTGCTACCTGCAGGGAACTGGACTTCTGCTTGGATGTACCTAAGCACATGAAAAATGTTTGAAAAAGTGCCATGCTAAAAAAAAAAAAAAATCAGCTCCCCCTCCCACACACATGGACCTCCCTCCCCAAACCCTTATAACTAATGCTGTAGAATGAATGTTTAAAGATTCACACAGTGGTAGGTAAAGACTATACTCATCTATTTAACAGCACAAACTAGGATGTTGCCAATTAACAAAATGAAATTTTTAATAAAAAGTTTAATCTTTAGAACAGGAGGATTTTGGAAATTAAGACAGGACAGGATGAAAATCAAATCAAAGAGGAAAAGAATATCAAAATTCTGCTTATTTGACTAGACTTCTTAAAGAATATCAAATCTAAAGCATTATCAAAATAGTGTTAAGATACCATTAATATTAGCTTAACTGCTCAATTGTTCTTTGCACAATATTAACTGTGCAAGCAAAGATTACTACAAGAAACTATAACTTGTAGATGAAAGTAGTGTTTTTCAAATTGCCAAAATGCTTCTCTTAATATATCAAAATATAACATGAAATCAGTTTTTTCAAGATACATACTTCTAAAATTTTCCATCATCTTTAATACTACTGTGCATGAACACTAATATTAAAAGAGCAATTTTTTCTGAGTTTACATAAACTCTTAATGTAAGCATCTATCAGAGAAAAATGATGTTACCTAGGAGGAAAATCAGATTTCCCATATAAGAGTACTCATATTGACAATGTATTTAAAAATAAAGTAAATGTACATTATTTTAAGGTTTCTGAATCACACTTAAATTAAGTTTCTCCTCTCATGACAAAATAATTATCAATATTAATAATCCTAACATCTGGACATAGAGTGGAGGATACATGTAATTACTGCTTTAATTCAAGGCTTAATCCTCTTATTTAGGAAGAACTGGGACTATATATATATAAAAACCTAATATGCTAATTGTCCCACCGACCGTTCAACCAGTCACTATGATGTGCACTGACCACCAGGAGGCAGGAGCTCCGGCTGGCAGGTTAGCTTGCTGCTAGGGTCCAGCCGATCGGGACTTGGCAAGATGGGCCAGACACACCCTAGAGCCCTCTTGTGGTCCCTCCTCAGCCCCGATTGTGCACCAGTGGGGTCCCTCAGCCTGGCCTGTGCCCTCTCGCAATCTGGGACCCCTCAAGGGATGTTGAAGAGCTGGTTTTGCCCAATGCCCACAGGCCAGGCCAAAGGACCCCACTGGTGCATGAATCTGTGCACTGGGCCTCTAGTTCAGTAATAAAAAAGAACAAACTACTGATATATTCTACAACATGGATGAACTTTGAAAATATGCTAAGTCAGTGATTTTCAACTAGTGTGCCACCACAAGAATTTTAAAAACATGCAATACTTGACTCTTTAGTCAGGCGCACTGACCTCTTTTCCCTTAAATTGTCAAATAAAATAAAAAAACAACAGCAACACAATAATAGCCATCCTGTGTGAATGAATCAAAAGTATACCTGTTTTTTTGTCAGATCGGCAAAAATATTTTTTGATGTACTGCAGAGTTTTAGCAATTAGTTTATGTGTGTCACAAGATGAAAAAGGTTGAAAATCACTGTGGTAAGTGAAAGAAGACAGACACAAAAGATCATATATTGTGTAATTCCATTTATATCAATTCTATAGAGACAGAAAGGAAATTAGTGGTTGTTGTCTGAGGTTATGGTGGTGAGAATGGAGACTGATCACAAACAGTCATGAGAGATCTTTTTGGAGTAATGGAAATATGCTAAAATAGATCATGGTGATGGTTGCACAACTCTGTAAATTTATTAAAACTCACTGCATTTTACATTTAAAATGAGTGAACTTTATAGCATTTGTGTGTGTGTGTGTGTGTGTGTTAATCCTCCCCCTAGGATATTTTTTCCGTTGATTTTTAGAGAAGGTGAAGGGAGGGAAGGAGGAGGAGGAGGGAGAGAAAGAGAGAGAAAAAGAAAGAGAGAGAAACATTTATGTATTGGTTGCCTCGGCCTGCACCCCAATCAGGGCCAGGGATAGAACCCACAACCAAGGTATGTGCCCTTGACCGGGAATTAAACCCGAGACCCTTTGGTCTGCAGGCCGATGCTCTAACCACTGAACAAAATGGCCAACCTACCCAGTTCTTTTTTAACAGCTTCATTGCTGTTTAATTTTAAATACCATAAAGTTGCCCTGGCCAGTGTTGCTAAGTGGTTAGAGTGTTGGCCTTGGGTTCCATTCCCTGTCAAGGGCACATACCTCAGTTGTGGGTTCGATCTCTGGCCTCGGTCCAGGTGTGTTCCAGAGGCAACCAGTCAATGTGTCTCTCACATATCAATGTTTCTCTCTCTCTCTCTCTCCCCCTCCTCCCTCTCTATACTCTCTCTCTAGAAATCAGTGGGAAGTTTCTCTCTCTCTCTCTCCCCCTCCTCCCTCCCTTTACTCTCTCTCTAGAAATCAGTGGGGAAAATGTCCTTCGGTGAGGATTAAAAAAGATCTCAGAAAAAAAATTAGTTGTCCACTCTTTTGGACTGTAGTCAACACATATGAATAACATAAACATAGTTAACTTAAGAATTTAAAAAACAGATCATCCAATGCATTAAAAATGATTCTCAAATCCAGAGGAAAAAAGTCACCTATAAGATGTTAAAATATACTGAATTGCAAGAGGTGACAAAACCACTGAAAAATGAAATCAGAGATTCAACTGCTTCTTTGCTAGAATGGGAGATGTTAAAACTGCAGGTAGCTCTAATATCTGCAACATGCTTTATTACTGAAAAAGACTAACAGTTTTTCCACAAGAAACTGTTTTAACAAGGTCATAAGACCACAGTTCCAAAATCACTGCCATCACTTTAAGACACTTATTCTTTAAATGCAAACTTAGCAAAATGTATTGTCTACATTCAGTTTTACATTTCTATCTGAACAAAGTGGTGAAGAAATACTTTATTCTTTCAAAGCAATAGCCTTTAGATTTGTGAGATAATTTTATAAATATTTCCATAAGTTTATATAGGAATTCATGGCTTGACATATTTGTTCAAAGTACCTAATGACAATCAACAGATAAGAAAAGGGAGGATAACCAGCACAAATAACAACAACAAAAATTCAGTTGTGTGATAAATTCAATGACTTTAGCATACTGAATTTAAAAATTCTGCAAAGACTGAAAGCTCCTTTAAACACTTATTAATTTCAAAACACCCTTATATAGTTGATATGTATTTTGTATATAAGATTAAGGAAATCCATGTAAGAGTTCAACACTAACCAGACTGGTAATTATATGAACTTAAGAATGTTCAAAAATTAAAAATCTAACAAATAATAGGATGATCCAAAATAAGGCTAGAATTGAGGACAGTAACAGTAGAAATGGCCCTTTCTTGTTAATAAATAAGATGCAAGAAGTTTAAAATACAAGATTACTAAAAGTAACTTAACTAAATATAGAAACTATAAGCCCAGAATACTAGTATATGTAGCAGTAAAAACAAAGGATGGTGAAAGTAATGAACAAAAAGCAGTTCTTCTCCAAAGAGCCTAGATACACATCAAAGCACTAACACAAGCTGTAATATCAAAAAGTAAACCAGGTTGGTGAAAAATAAATAATACAACCTAATCATTCCCAGAAGCTGAAGCAACACCTTCAATTTTGGGGAAAAGTAGAGAATGTGACAAGTGTTCTTTTAGCAACAAATTTTCAGTTAGCAGGAAGGTAGTAAGTAGTATATAAGATGCTAGAAAATAAGAGTTCCATCTCCTTCCAACATCTTCCACTGTCACATGTAAATAAATAAATCTATTCATTGGTAACATTGGATGACATTATAAAGTATTTTCTAGGAATTTAGGAAAAGTCACCATCTCATCTTTTTGGTTTGGTTTCCAGTAGAAAAACTTTGTAATAGGAAACCATAATATAGAGACAGCTTTGAACGAGACCTTTATTTATTTATTTTTTATGGGCAGTGAGGGAATGAGGTGGACATGTACATGCCAAATATTTAGTTTATTATTGAAATGAGTTAATTCTACCAATCATTTTTTTGTGTCTAAAATAATTAGTATACTGTGCAATAGAAATATAATGGCTAAAGGACAAAATACATGACATGCCAGTAGATTTGGTTTCGTATTTCTTACTTGGTTTTGTCTAATCAGATATAAACTTTGTTCTGTGACCCCTTTGCTTTCTTATATCTCTACATAGCACCTTACTAGAATTATTTTTTTTAGAATCATTAAAAAAAATCTTTATTGATTTCAGAAAGGTAGGGAGAGGTAGAAGGAGAGAGATATACAAACATCAATGATGATAGCGGATCATCGAGTGGCTGCTTTCTGCACACCCTCCTACTGGGGATCAAGCCTGCAACCTGGGCATGTGCCCTTGACCGGAATCGAACCCGGGACCCTTCAGTCTGCAAGCTGACATTCTATCCATGGAGCAAAATAGGCTAGGGCTAGAATGATTTTTAAAAAAAATATTTTTATTGATTTCAGAGAGGAAGGGAGAGGGTGAGAGAGATAGAAACATCAATGATGAGAGAGAACCATTGATTGGCTGCCTCCTGCACACCCCCTATGGGTATTGCCTGCAACCAGGGCATGTGCTCTTGACTGGAATCGAACCCACAACTCTTCAGTCCACAGGCCGACACTCTATTCACTGAGCCAAGCCGGCTAGGGCTAGAATGATTTTTAAACAGCTGGGTCTTAAATTGAAATAGAAAAAAAGGTTGATGAAGTAGTATAGAAAATAACACAGTACATCAAATGTAATAGAGTATATATATTATCTAATGGAATTTGTGTTTGGATAAATAGATGTACAATTGTCCTGGGTTTCAATGTTCTTATTGTGGTCATAGTGAAAAATGAAAGTCATTGGCCTGGGATTCATCATTTTTTCTTTATGTCTAAATACCTGTCACAAAATTTCCCAAAGTAGCAGGGCACGCCTTTAACACTAGTAGCCCTGCACACGAATTTGTGTGCCAGTAGCTCGCTGCTGCCCTCCAGTAGCTCTCCGCCCGCTGCCCTGCCCTCCTGTAGCTCCCCCCGCCCCCTACCCTCCCTCATAGCTTTCTGTCCTGCCCCCTCCTGTAGCTCGCTGCCCCGCCCTCCTGTAGCTCCCTCCGCCCCACAGTCATTATGTGGTCGGTCGTTATGCTTCATGGTGTAATGACCATTTGCATATTACATCTTTATTATATAGGATAGTAAGGTTAACCAAGAGTGTTCAAAGACAGAGCATCTATGTTACATGCTAAAAGATTAATTCAACCTTTTGCCTTCTAAGCAGTTATATGTTAAAAGGCATTATTAAATTTGGGCATATGTAATCCATGTAAACATGAATACATAATAGAAATCTATTAAACTAGAGAATATCAGTAGTAAAAATTCCATAAAAACACTCAATTTCATTCACTATACATATATTTTTCTATACACTTTTTTTTTAAAATCCTCACCTGAGGATATTTTTTCCATTGACTTTCAGAGAGAGTGGAAGGAGGGGAGGGAGGGAGGGAGAAAGAGAGAGAGAAATATCGATGTGAGAGAGACACATTGACTGGTTACCTCCTGAGCATCCTGACTGGGCTGGAATGAACCTGCAACCCAGGTACATGCCCTTGACTGGGAATCAAACCCACAACACTTTGGTACAAAAGCCGACGCTCTATCCACTGAGCCACACCAGCCAGGGCTCTATGCACTTTTAATGATTTGATATAAAAATATGAGAACTTTTCAGGTACCTATTCCAATAAACAACTCTGGGATATAAAAGAGGTATGTTAATTGAGTTCTTACTTTACATTTATATTGCTGTTTTCAATCTTTCCCACCATTTTAGAATACTACTTCTTGATTAATTTTTTTAAAAACATCATTCTTTAATCACATCTCCCTTCTTAAAAATGTTTAATAATTTTCTTTTGCATTCAGAATGATATATATTCTTAACCTGGTATTCATTAGTTTATTCAACAAATATTGGAACAAATAGAACAAGCATAGTGGACTATACAAAGATAAACAACATAAACCCTGCCCTTGAGGAGCTTACAGTCTAAAAGAGGAGATAAAAGTATACGAGTCCAAATATAGGGATAAATCCAAGGATTGGCAGGCCTGGAATGGGGGGGTATAATATAGGAACCCTCATGCATTGCTGGTGGGAGTGTAAACTGTTCTAGCCATTATAGAGAGCAAATTTGTAATACTCTCAGATAAACAGTATGCATTCCTATGACAGGCAATTCTGCTCCTAAATTTATCCCAAATAAATTCTCACAAAGACCTACAAGGGGAGTATATAAGGATTTTCATCCCAGCATTATCTGTGAGAAGTGAGAAGCAACTGGGCACCCATCACTGGGAGAAAGGACTGGTGAAAAATGGAGGATATACAGGGTGAAGCACTGTGCTGCAGGCAGAAACAATATAGAGGTAGACACATAAATAGATCTTAAAAACAGTATTGAATGAAAAAAGTAAAAAACAAAATGGAATTCAGCACAATACCACTTGTTAAATTTAAAATACCCATTAAGTAGTAAACATATTATGAGAATGTGTAAGAACAAAAGAATCTACACATCACCCCCCCCACCCCCCCCCTAACAACCCACAAAAAAACCAAAAAAAAAAAACCCACCCAGAATGATTGCCCACAGGGCAAGTAGGGGAATGAAAGAGGGATAAAGGGAGTAAGAGAGGAGCCACAATGTCAAAGCACCAGGAATTGAGTATGATTAACCCAACCTTCTACACATGAGTTCCAAAAGGGGAGGAGGGGGCAGGAGTAGCAGTGACCAGAGCCAGAAGGAAGATCCAATAAAGTGCTGTAGGAGTTCAGAGCAAAGAAATTACTCCTCTAGAGGGCTTGAGGTGCACACAAAAGATATAGGTTTTGTTTTATCCTGACATCATTTAAATGCTTTGTAACAGATTAAATTCTAAACTGTTAACCTGCATAGGATAATCCAGTCCTCTCTTTTAGAATCTCTGGAGAACCAGTTACAACAAATAAATTAGATGCGACAAATGGCTTCAAATGACAAATTTAAAAATTAATTTTGTAAGGCATGGGGTTGATATCACTTATATATCCTTTCCCATCTGAATATTCACAAGTATACATAATATAGCTAAACAATGCTGGAAAACTGAGCATATCACTCTCTCCTAGTTTCACATTTTGTTTATAGAGTGATTCTGAGGTCTCTCAGATGCCACCTAGAATTGTAAACAACAAATGAGATAAGTTGCCTATATCAGGAGATATGGGGCAAGATGAATGGAGCCTAGACAAAGGGTGCAAATGGGTCATGAAAGAAAAGAATATATGAGTAGTATATAATACCTGGGTAAGATTTAGGGCATGAATATATTTTAAAGGATGCAGGTATGAATAATAAAAAAGATTTATTTAAAAAAGACAGGAATAAAATGTTATAAGAACTTGAAAAGATGATTGCTACAAGAGGAAAATAAGAGTCTTAGAGAATAAGAATCCTTCCTTTATCCCTAATCACATATGCAACACAGATGTTAGGAGAAACAAAAGCGTCAAACATCAACTTCATCATTCAAAGGAACTTCTCTAGAGACATAAATGAGAAGTATTAAGGAGAAAAAGCCACCTTAAGGAGAAAAATATAATAACATATATTTAATAATTTAAGATAGGGTTTTTTATTCCATTGATTCAGTGTGCACTCTGATATCAACTGATTTTTCCTAATTCATAGTGATATAACATTCTATGATGCACATGATTTATCCTAACATTACATCTTAACACATACATGATCACAGTTTGATCCTGCATAAATATATATTAGGTTGGCAATGTCACTTGGCAGCTGGCAACAGCAAGTGCCCAAGTGTCCAGATATAAGTGTTAACTTTTTTCTTCCCTAATAATTTAGAAAAATGAAAGTTTCTTAAAAGGTTAATTTATTTTTATATTATTCAATAAGTAGTAAAACATCAAAGTGAAGATAAATAAATACTCCATACAAGGAGGTATCTTAGTAAGCAAAAATATGATTACTCACTTGAGTATCAACTTAAAAAATCATTATCCAAACATTTCAGTTTACTTACATATTAAATCTAAATTTAAAATGTTTTACTTGCTCTCTATACATACTTCATGTCCTTCCTAGCTTATTTCTTGGTTATTTTGTGGTATGTGTTAATAATGTATAAAAGATTTCTTATGTAGTACTGAATTTCCCTGGTCAAAGTCAGTACAGTCCTATATAGGGTTTAGCCAAACAAGAAACAACAAAAATAGAGGCATTTAGGTTTCAGTATTTTATTAAAGGCTAGTTATGATGCTCAGATTCCTTAATAAGTACATGCTTACTTTGCTTTTTATTCATTAAGATTAAAAATGGCAGCCTTCATTTTCTTAAAAGTTTAAATAGCTATGTGTCTAATGGAAAGCTGCTAGAATTAGCATAAGTCAGAGACACTAGAGACATTTTATCTCTAAAATTAATAGTTTAGAAATGAAATAATCCTTGGCGAAGGCCCTCAATACTCTAAATTACTAAAACTGGCATAATTTGAAAGAAACTTCTGTTTGCTGCTGTAACAATTACCCCTAACCAACTTTTATTTTTTTTTATTTTTTATTGTTTAAAGTATTACATATGTCTCCTTTTGCCCTGATTGACCACCCCCACCAACTTTTCTTAAATCCCAGTATTAAAGAGACTAATACATACTAACACACCTCATTGTGATGTCAAAAACCTAGGACTTGATTATCATATACGAAATGAAATATGCTCATACATTTGTTTTTATGTAGTTCTTAATACCTTACAAAGTACCTATTTTCTTATTTTAAAGTATTACATATGTCTCCTTTTTCCCTGATTGACCACCTCCCCCCGCACCACCAACTTTTCTTAAATCCCAGTATTAAAGAGTCTAATACATACTAACACACCTCATTGTGATTTCAAAAACCTAGGACTTGATTATCATATACGGAATGAAATATGCTCATACATTTGCTTTTATGTAGTTCTTAATACCTTACAAAGTACCTATTTTCTTATTTCAAAGAACTCGGATATGACAACTATATATGATTATCAAATCAAGGTAGTTTTTATATCTACAAGTGAAAAGATAGCAGAAAAATATCAGAGCTCATAAACTTGAGTCCTTTAAATAGTGTATACTCCTTCTTAATATTCACTTGGGTATTACTTATATACTTTTTGATAGTTATTTGTCCAGGTTCACATATTGACAGATGTTAACACACTGTATTTTGCATTATGTGAAAGAAACTAAATTTAGTAATTCTTAAAACTTCTCACTCAGTGAATTGAGTCATTGTTACTAAGACTTAACTAGACAAAAAATATACATTTTCATTCCTCATATTGTACTACTGCTTAGCTAAAGAATTATCAAATGGGAAATGAATGCCTGATAAATTCGTGCTACTTGAATCAAAAACCTGGTTTGCTTCTTCTTAAGTATCTTCATCTATGTCAGATAAAAATTACACCTAGCAATATGTTAACAGGAAAATAAGAAGTCATTTTTCTTAGTATTTATGTATTTTCTATTTTATAGTTTGTAAGGCTATTAGCATTTTCAGAATTACCTACCTCAATTAATGTATGAATTAATATGGGATACATACTAATGAATTCATTAATTAGATAATAAAATACCCATTTTAAAGAAATAATTTAAAAACTAACCTTTTTGTACTCCTAAAAGGGCAGGGGAGTTCTCCTGTGAACTTCTGTCAGGCTCTTGAGGAGGTACAACCATGGCAAGTGTATGCATTGGTACACGTGGAACCTAAAAAGTCAACTCAGAAAAAAATAATCTCAGACCAAAGAGTAAAACAAAGACCCACACATTAAACAGAGATCCTGTTGTAGATTTTTTTCATAAACCGATTCACGTTTTTGTTTATTAAAAATTAAGAAAAAAACAAGGACAAAACACCAAAAAATTCACCTGTAGGGTTTTACGCTAGTGAAATAAGCCAGTCAGAGAAAGATAAGTATCACATGATCTCTCTCATGTGCAACCCAATGAACCAAATAAACTGATGATCAAAAATAGATCCAGAGTCATAGAAGCATGAGCAGACTGTTGGACCTCAGAGGGAAGGCAGGGGAGGGTGGGTGAAAAGAGATCAACCAATGAATTTGTATGCATATATGCATAATGGGTGGACACAGACAATGGGGGTGGTGACAGCCTGGGGGTGGGGAGGAGATGGAAGAGGGCTGGAGGAGGTTAATGGGGGGAAAAGGAGGACCTATGTAATACTTTCCACAATAAAGATTTAAAAAAATTTCACTAAGGAATAATTTCTAAGAATATTGATTGGACAAACTCAGGCAATCTACAAGTAAATGATTTAAGCTAAATGGAATATTACTCTCTTGCTAAGAAGAAAGCCTTGTTGGTTCCAATTATATAGCTAGGAGTACAATTCACATAATTACTGGCCAATTTATCCTTGTTCAAATTCCACATGGGTCAAAAGAAAGAAAAATTCCAAATGTCTCCTGAGTTGGAGTATTTAGCAGTTCTCAGGATAATTTTGTAGACAAGAACTTAAGATTTCACTAAACTGTATGCTTAGTATATTCTCTATATTCTCTCCATATTTTTAGGTAGGTTTAAAAATTACTTTAATAAACTTTTGGTGCATATCTCCTGGTTAACTATACTTTGCTGGTTGGCAAAATAGTTAACTCTAGGATAAATAATAATGTCTTGGGAGGTATTAGGGAAAAGCTTTTTTTTGGTTCAAAATTATGCTTAATACATTCATTAAAAAACAAACAACCCCAAAATCTAGTTGTAGTAAGATGAGAATTTGAAATATTTATATTTGGTATGAAATATTTAATATATAAATATTAAATATTT